GGGGGGGGGGGGGGGGGGGGGGGGGGGGGGGGGGGGGGGGGGGGGGGGGGGGGATTCCTACATTTGTCCCTCAGCTACCCCAGAGCAGCTTTTCAGCATGGTGGTTGCTTATGTCATTTGCCACTGTGCTTCGTCTTTATTGCGTTTGAGAATTAATTGAATCAGGGGACAGTGGTAATATTAAAGCACTGTTTATGAAAACCTTCCTTTCAGCGTAGAAATGACTCACTTGCTGGATGACACCTCTTTATAATGACTCACTGATGCAGTCATAAGATGTTCAGCTCATAATGTGAAGTAGGTCTATTTAAACAAAACAAGATGATTCATTATCTGTCACGTACAGTGATCGTGCTCATGATATGTGATAATCAGTTGGCATATTGGCCAACTACTGTGATAATGAATTTAACATAATTCAGGATCTCATAAAAGGTCTTCAGGGAGCCGTTATCAGTACAGATGTTCTTTTCTAGCTTGTAATTGGACATGATGTTTCTTATTACTGTAGCAGAATGCACTGTATGTGGCTTATGAGAAATGGCAAAGTATGCATGTGCATTCATGTTTCTATGAGCATACAGCAAAGGAGAGCCAAGTTCTGGAAACTTAAAGGGTAACTTAGGTATTTTTCAACCTGGACCCTCGTGTTTGTGTCCAAGTGAGTAATCGGAACATGGTTTTTTAGATTGGTCCAGTATTGAGAGAGAGCACTGCAGCCGGCATTTGTACACTGTCAGTGTACATCCATTAAAGTGCTTGTTTGTGCCACTGACAGGCTCAGATTGATATTTTAAGAGCTGAGCGCTCTTGCTTAATACTAGACCAGTTTCAAAAGCTGTTGTTCTGATTAGTCACCAGGACACAAAAACATGGGAAAATAGGGTCCAGGTTGAAAAATACCAAAGTTACCCTTTAACAGAACAAAGAAGGAGTTGATACATGATGATCAGATGTTGACTAAGAGGGGAGACCAATGTAGCATTTTATCTTTAAGTCCCTGGTATATCTGCAAAACTGGACACAATCTTATACACAAACACTAATATCCTTTCCCTTTACCCTCCTCTCCTCAGACTCTGGTTCCTGTGGCCAGAGGAAGCTGGCATTCGCAACAAGCGCAGCAGGAACCGCTGCGGCTGCCTTGGAGGCTGCAGGTTCTTCGGAGGTACCAACATGGGCCTGGACTTCTTCAAGCTAGAAGAGCTGACGCCCTCCTCCTCGTCTGCCTTTTCCTCTTCCAGCACTGAGTCAGACATGTCTTATGGCCAGTCTCTGCTACAGCCAGCAGAGTGGATCATGACCAAGGAAACGCCCAAAGTGGATGGTATGCATTTGCTGAGATTTAATATAGATTTCATGATATTCCTCAGAGTTGCTTGAGGGTTTTTGTGTGGATCCCAGAGCAAAATTAAGCATGGTTAAAATCCACAATGTTAAACTCATTACTAAGACAACAGCTATTCTTCCTATATAGGGACTACATGGGAACTTACTCATAATTTATTGGGCTTTTATCTTGTGCCTAATTGGTAATCTTAAAACACAGTTTGACCAACTCCCCATGAAATATAGAATATATGCATGGGATGTCAACAACTGAATATATCATGCTGATACAAAAAAACAATGTCTCAACAAATTAATGGTTACTGAATTAAATGAATGTCTTCCTAGGGAGAGTAGTAGGACTGAAAACGGACACACACTCACCCTGCCTGCCTCCTGAGCTGCCTGAGAGGCGTGGTCAGCAGTACCTCAGTCTCCAGGTGCCCCAGCGCTCCCACAGCTCAGCCTCTTCCTCTGAAGAAAATAGCTCCTCTAGTGCTGCGTTGCCCCTGCTGGCCGGAGAGAGGGACACTCCCTCGCCAAGCACAGAGGAACGTATGTTCCCCGTGAACGGCAAAAGCCCTGCTGAGTGAGTAACATCAACATACTGTTAATATAAGCAGTCAGGGCACTAGAACCACTAGAAGGCAGCACAAGCAGGATTTCAGCCTGGCTAGTTACTCTTTGAATACAGTTGTTTAATTTTCGAAAAAGCCCTTCAAATGTTATTTTTTCCTCTTTTTGTGCAGCACCCTTGGAGAGGTCCCAGAGGTCTCACCAGTCTCACCCAACAGCTCCCAGGACCGCTCCTCAGTGCGCTCACCCCTCTGCTCTCCTCTCAAGCGCCAGTCCTCTGTCCACTCAGGCCGACTGGGCAGCACCAAGAGCCTGTCAGCCGCCGTCTTCACCGACAAGCCTCCACCAGTTCTGTCCGGAGGCGTCCAGTTCAGCAGCGAGGTTTCCCGCAGCGACGAGAACGTGCTGGACTCGCCACGTCAGCGCAGGAGCTACGGCTCATTCCCCTTCACGCCTTCAGCGGACTCCAACACTTTCCATCAGTACCGCTCCGCAGACTCCAGCATGTCCGTGGCTGACAGCGAGGCCTACTTCTCCGCTGCTGAGGACTTTGAGCCAATAAGCAGCGCCGACGAGGGTCCAGGGACGTACCCAGGTCGCAAGAAGAAGAGGAGGCAGCAGATGCAGCAGCCGCAGCAGCCCCCGTATCACATGGAGAATTACAGGTCAGCTTGAATGATAATGTAGTTTGGAAAATGGAGCGTGTAATATTCTGCAAATTGAGCTCAGTTTCAGTGAAACTCACAAAAGTTCTCAAAGTTAAAGGGTTGGAAAATTTGAGGGGTGGATGGCCAGATCAAGTACAAAGCTAAGCACGGGATTAAGGTGATGGTAGAGTCTAGACAGCTCCCAGTAACATCAAAGAGTCTCTCATTTCTCATCTGTAAGAGCAGGTGACTTAATGACCTGTCAAGCAAGGTCTGACTTTGCCAGATTGCTTCAAGTGTTACACTTTTAAATAATGCTAAAGGGGCCTTTCTAAAGACGCTGTGGTTCATTATTTTCATTTTAAGATTGTTACAAATTCAGGAATTAGATGGTTCTTTTTTTTCCATTGTTAAATTAATTCCCTTTCCTAATAGAGATGTTAAGGCTTTGCACACCAAGTCCATATTTTTCATCGGAAATTGTTGCATGTTTGAAAATACATACGACCTCACATGTCAGTCACATTTACACAACGACTCTGAAACTTTCATCCGTCCTTAAGGTTTTTGGAACAGGTTTGATTATTTTCGTCTGTGTGTGTCTGTCCTTAGACATACTGCCAGTTTCAGTCCTGGATCAATGGGATCCCTGAAATAGCCGGTCTTCTTTTAATGTGTGATTCTTAGTATTGCGAGCGGCACATTAAACTGGACCACTGACATCCTAAAATAGACCTGGAAGCGATCTAGATAATTTTGCAGCTCCGTTATCAGGTAAAACTCTCCTTGCTCTGCAAACATTCTCAGGATTGAATGGACATAGGCCTGTCACAATAACTACAATAAACTATAATGTTGTAATTTAGAGACCATTTTGTGCCACTAATATAATAGTAATAACATAATACCTTTTAATAGTTAAGAACATTCAGACATTGGGACTGGAATCTGAAAAATATTTAACATATTTTTAAAAAGGTAAATAACACCTGTTAATATATACAAGAATGTGCATGTGAAGCCTCTTGGACTGATAGAAACACAGCAGTTACCTCCACAATCCAGCCGGTGTGCTGCAGTCTGCTCCCGGGGATGGATGGCCTGGGAGTCGGGTGGTTTACTGGTGGATTATTTTACACAGTGGAGGATGAACTTGTTGGAGGGTAAAACTACAAATATTTGACTTTTTGGCTCATTGTCAGAGGTTGGCAAGCTCACAACTATCAGGACTATAGCTCTTCCACTCTTAAAGTGCAGCTGCAGGCTACTAGTAAGCTACGCTGTGTCATCTTAGTGTGTTGTTTTATTTTTCTTCAGACTCGCACAAGTAGGCGGGGGTGGAGAGGGAGAAAAAAAGGGAGAATTGCTGCCTCATAACGGTCAGGAAAGCCCTGCTGTTTGTTCTGGCATCGTGTTGGCTAAAATGTCGGTGATATTTCTTTGTTAACAAACACATGTAAACACAACAGGCATTATCAAGGTCAGCAAAATGATAGCGGTCACATCCATATATCTTACAATAAGTACAATAAGCTTTATCATGAGAGGCCCAGATGGACCCAATTATTTCTCTTTCTTCTTCTACCGTCATGAAGTGTGAGAACCACCAAATCATCCTCGCTGCTTGATGACCATTTGGCAAAGTTTTGCAATGAATAGAACAATAAAATCCATCAGATGCAGTGTGCAAGTTTTCAGTGTAACAATTTTCATCAGATGATAGATTAAAAGAACGGATATTGTCAATACAGACTTGGTGTGCGAAGTCCTTTACTGTGAAATTTCTAAGGTATTTTTACAGTGTTATGAACTTTTTTTTTTTTCAATTTAACGTTTATGTACTTAATATTAAGTTTTTTGAATTTAGAATTTTAGTAGAGCAATATATGTGTTTTGCCTTTTTAAGTTTATGGTATCTGGACTTAGAGGCAAATAATATAGAAACCTTTTTGCCTTTAGAAAAAAAACACCTCATGTGTTGTGGTTACAGTAACAGCAAGGTCTCAACAGCATGTGCTTGGAAAGCATTGCAGATTAGAATGAGAAAAAGGCAGTAAACAATTGTGTCAAATAACTTCTGTGGACTCACACCGACATCTTTGCAATGATTGTAAAATGGCTTTATAACACAATATGCAGGAATACATTAACTGTTATGACATTTTAATGTTTAATACCCAACAACTTTTGCATTTTATCGCATTAAGCAACTTGCCCCTGAAGCTAAACACGTTGCAGCTTTCATTTATTACTTTGATTCGATCATTCAGGGATGGATGTGATGTAGAAGGGTTGTAGCGAATGAGATGTTTGATCCATGGGCAGCCACTTACTGCTGGTGTGTTTTGCAAATTGGATTTCAGGCTTGCTCTGCAACTACCTTGTCATTTTTCTATTACCCAAAATGTTCTCACATTGATTTCAACATGCTTTTTGATTGATGTAGCCTCCACACAAACACACATAATCAATTCAGTCTCATGAAAGCTTTCTAGCACAAGCCTGTGGAAACGTAAGGCTCAATTCAAGAACATAAAACTATACAGAGAAGGGGTGCTATAGATCCTGGTAAAGGGTGGTTAGTGTTGCCATAGTTAACATCACTACAGCTGTATTGCCATTAGAAAGACATAAACATTTTCCACTAAAACATCCATGCTTATACATATTTTTGGCTTTAACTAGCTTGAATTACACATTGACATATTCATTTGATGTGTAATATTTTGACCTTCATCCAGCCGGAGCTCCATCTACCACAGTGTTGAGGGACCCCTCACCTACGTTCTCAATGGGGAGCTGATCACTGAGCCACGTCCTCTGCCCATGCCACCAATGCTGCCCCCGCTGCCGCCCCAGCCCCTGCCCAGCCACACATCCCAGGCCTCCTTCGTCTCTGCACTGGCCATGGAGGAGGAGAGCTCTGTGGAAGCGGAGAAGACGGCTGAACCTGGTCCTGTAACCCGCCAGCCCCACGTCATGGCGTGTTATCAGAGCTACCTAGCCCACTACCAGGTAAAGCCTTTCACGTTAGTCCATTCATGTGCAAATGCTGGGGTCCTTTTTAAGTCTTAAAAGATACGCCATCTGCATGTGTCGAGTGTTATTTTGCTCCGTATAATGTTTTTATGAAAGCATTAATATGGAAATGCCTAGCTTGGTCATTTTCACTGGGATTGTCCAATTTAACACTCTTTCGTTCACCCCTGCCAGGTCTCAAACTGGTCTGTCAAGCAGCCCACCAATAAGAGGACCTCCAAGTCTTCTCTGCATCGCCCCTTAGATTTGGATACACCCACCAGTGAGGAGAGCTCCGCCTCCTTTGACCAGCTCTCTGTTCCAAGCTTCAAGGTCCATACTATACTATACTGTTTTATACTTTACTATAGTATACTGTTCTATAAGATACAATACTATACAATAGTTTAATATACTGCTTAAAGGGACAGTTCAGTCCCAAATCAAAAATACATATTTTTCCTCTTGTCTGTAGAGCCGTTTCTCAATCATGTCGCGACTGCTTAAGATAATCCATAGAGCTTGTTGTGAGCTGTGTCATGTAGGACTTACTTTCTTTTTACTGAACTGCACCCACCAACCATATCACCGTGCAGAAAGCAGGAAGCGTGCATCTACTGATGGACGACAGACTCATGACAGAGCGAGATATAAACATTAATGGTGTCCTCCTCAGCTAAACAGAACTTAAGCTAGCTCAGTGGTGCTAGGTGAACTAGCAGTATATACAAGCTTCCTTCTGAGCTGTGATATGGGTGTAGTTTGGTAGAAAGAAAATAGTTCCTATCTAAAACTGCTCACCACAAGCTCTGTGGATCATCTTGAGTAACCAGGTAAAGGCTTCTTGAAAGAGACATTGCTGTTGAGTTTTTCAAATTTAGATTTTTGGTGCTTTTATCACTACAAGCTGAGTGCCATCTGGTTCCATTATATTGGAGAGAAGGCAGACATCTTTCTTGCAGATATTGCCAACACTTGGTTACTGACACCAAAACAATCAAGACTGATAAATAGCACTACTTGTAAGAGGAAAAATATGGATTTTTGATCTCGGGGTGTCATGGTATTGGCTGTCAAAACGGTTAAATGGTATGTGTCCATCCCAGAACTCCCCGGACATGAGTGTGAATTTTATTTTATTTTTTTACATAACAGGTGATAAAGCAGGGCCTCTCGGCCAGCTCTCTACTGGACAGAGGACTTCAGCTGATGGGAGAGAACAACAGGTATTGTTTAACCCATCTTAACTGATATACTTACATTAAAAACCAATTCACTCAAGAGAATGTGGTTTTTGTATTTGTATATCTTAGTATAGTCAGCAGCACCGAAGTAGCAGCCTGTGCTGTGTTTTTATTAATATTAATATATAATGCATGATCAGGGATTGCCTCTTTGTTTCTCCACAGTACACCATATACCCCTCTGGATAAGAGAGCCATGGAGAACACAGATGAGGACACAACGACTGATGACTGGACTCTGGAACAGCCCTTAGCTCAGACCAGGACCACTGCCATTGTGGAGGTGAAGGGAGCCATCAATGTGGTGCTCACGCCCCTTGTGGCTGAATCCCTCGACAGGTATTAACTTATGCGGCATGTAGTTTTGTTTTGTTTTTTTCCTTAACTTTAAAGGAACAAGATGTAAGAAATCTAAAGCAAATAGTCGTAAAATCATCCTAATATGTCACAGAGACGAAGGAATAATGTTCATATAACATACTGATCTCATCGACAACAATAGTACAGCCAGAATATTCGCATTTAAAAAACATTTTTACGGTCTGCAAATCATGTTTATGTTTTGAATTTGTGTTTTGGCCTGTTGCACCACCCACCGCCGTCTACCAGTCACACAGTCAGTAGAGTCTCAGCATCAGTTACAGTTACGACTGAGCTACAGCAGCACAGCAAGTAGCATTAGCAGTGTCCCAGTACATAGCATTAGCAGCCGGCTCCTCCTCAGCTGTATCCCGGCAGCAGCGTTAGCAGCAGAGAAGCTGGACTTGCTCGAACGGTCCGCTGGAAAACCGAAGATCAAGGACGCGGCGACGCGGCCCTGCCACGGCAGCCGCCCATGGGCAAACAAATCAGTCTCCAGCGTGCCGCTGTCCAGCAACCTTGAATCTGTAGGGGNGGTGGGGGGGGGACGACTCACGGCAGTATTTTGAATTTGAGTGCAGTAACCGTTTTGGCCACATTCTTACACACAGCGCCTTTAAAGCCTGGAAAGAGCCATGGCCTGAGGCATTATGTTTTCAATGTGTCCGTCTGTGCGTCTGTTCCATTCTGCTGAATGTGATATCTCAAGAATGCATTGAGGGAATTATGTCAGATTTGGCACAAACATCCACTTAGACTCAACAATGAACTGATTAGATGATGGTGGTCAAAGGTCAAGGTCACTGCAATCTCACGTCTGTTTCATTCTCATGAATGCAATATCTCAAATATGCCTGGAGGGAATTCTATATTTCACGTATGTCATATATATTTATTCCATAACTTAAGAATTCACATGCTAATTCATTTAAATTTCACACAAATATTTAAAAGAAAAAAGTAAGATAAAGTGATGACATTGTAAATCTAAAAGGTTAAAGGTCAACTTCACTATGACATCATAATATTATGCAAAAATAATTTGATGTTCCTTATTAAACTCCATAACTTAGCAACAGAAGGGCAGATTGTGACCATATACTGTAGGTCTTCTGTGCTGACGGGCTGAAGGTGTGTGTGAAGCATCCATGTCATAAAATTTGTAGCTTCTTTGCAACAACAGCCATATTTGCAGCATTGTCAACTGTCATGGCTGCATATGAGTCTGGAGAGACATGAATGTAAACTGTAATTTGACTGGTTGGCGAAGGCATACAGCTGAGAAGCGGTGATGCTAGTTTTTTATCTGTGTATGTTGTTTATGCTCTCACTGTGTCCCAGTCTAATACATTGTTTGTTTTTTAGTCTGTTTATCATGCTGCTTTATCGACCAAATCTCCCTTAAAACTAGATTTTCAGTTTCAGTTTGAAAAACACGATTAGAAAACTAAAATAACTTGGCTGACACTCAGTTTTTCTCACACTGCACATTCTTAGTTAAGGTTTTTTGTTTTGTTTTTTTGCCTGAAGCCAAAATCTGACCTTAACCCAGTTTAATCCCTCTGCACATTGCATCTTGGATTTAAAATTCCACTGACAGTGCTTCTGAGTCTGGTCTCGCTCTTGGTCACCTACCAGTGTGTATCTTCAGCTTGCCAATGGCTAACAGTGCTGGGTTCACGATGGTCTTACCAGCATTTAGCTCTTGGCTAGTGCAGAGTGGAGATGGGTAAACTGTAGCTAGAAGGTTAAAGAGAGGTCACACTTCAAGTACTGACATAATAAATTAGATTTATTCTTGGAAAGGGTGATTTTTATATCTAACTCAGTTAAGATGAAGCACTTCAGTTTTTGTTTGCAACGTCTCTGTGTTTCACTCATGTAACTAAATAAAACAACATAATTATATCCCTATGAAACTGTATTGTTTTATTGTAGCTGTCTGTTTGGTCTCTTTCAGATATATTGAATCCATGGTCCACTTTGCCAGTATCCGTCATCCTGCAGCCATCCTAGATGACCTGCATGGGAAAGTCCTCAATGAAGCCTATCAGATCAGCAAGTCCACAGTCACCGAGTCGGTAAGTACAACAGTGCAGGACGAAGCTTGATGTGTTAATATTTATAACCTCGTGGGTTTGGTCGTGTGTGTGCGTGTATGAGTCTGTGAGTAGCTAATCTCACAAATTACTGGACCAATCAGCCTAATATTTTGTGTGCATATTTATGTCTGTATGCTCAAGGATCTCTCATGGTTGCAGTGATTCAAAATTTTTAGAAAAACTGTTTTATTAACTGTTTTATACTGGATCTATACCCGATATGTTATGATCCACTTAAGTTGGACTGTCAGAGGTAGAGCTGTTTGCCTGCCTGCTTTTTTAAACTTACAGATTTTGTGGATTTAGTCATTCTTCTTCCATGTTTGTACTTTTACCATAAGTAAGTAGGCTCTGTAGTTCAATGGTTTCTCTTTCTCTCCATTTTAATTATTTATTTTTTTATTTATTTTTTTTAGAATTGTGTTAGTACCATTAAAAGTCCAGTTATGAATGATATGGATCAAAGCTTTGTGGCTATGTTATAGTTAAAAAACATACATTCAACCTCATAATTATATTGTATTTGTATTTCACATACAGTCCCTAGTAGCAGGAGAAATTGATCTGCTCTGTGCAACGAGCTGTGGCTCTGTCAACAATAGATGAGGCGTGTATTTTTATAGCCTCTGGGATGCTTCTGAATTCGCTGAGCCGCGTCCACTGGAATTACAAGAATTGTCCAGAGTGGCCACCATCAATCCAGGTGGCTACTTGGTCGCCTGGCAGAGATCTGCGCTCTACTAACTACACTTCTGTAGTAAAACATGTCAGGTTTTTGACTGTTGACATACAGCTTAATACTCAGTGTGTGTGTGAAAAGCAAATCACTCAAATATTAGTTGATTCAAATCAAAAAGGGAAAGCTGTAGTTCATGTTAAAGTATCAAACGTGTCACTCAATTATTCATCAGTAGTATGAAAAAAGTGTTTCTTCTCAAACAGTTTTAGATGGCTGGATGGATATTTTAAATGTTTTGAGATATGACAAAAATCAGCAGCCCATTTTAAAAGTGGCTTTGTTGCCCAATGACTGACGCCCCGCTGTTTTGGATCTGAATTCCACACAGAGTCAAACCGGCAAGCAGGAGCACAAGCTGTCCAAGACAGAGGGCACGACCCCCGGCTCCCTCAACATCACCCATGGCCAGACAGACCTGTCCATCAAACCAGATAATGTGAAAATCAAGGGCCTCCAAGCCAACGTCTCCATCCCCAAGGTAAGAACCCTGACCTGGAATAATGAGAGGCCAGCAGCGTTCCTTTAACTGTACTCTGACCAAGAGCAGCCACAGAATCACGAGCTTTGCTTTAGATCACTTTAAATTTCAACAATGAATATACAGTGCTGCTTAACATTTGTGTCTATGAAATGTACCAGATACTATCAAAACCATTCAGATTCTTTTTTATTACACTGAATGGTAGTTAAAGTCTGTTTGCTCCACAAGTTTGAGTGGCTACAGAATACATTTCTCTCACTTGTAACTATTGCAATATTGATGTGTCCATTACCCTCTGTATATCTTCATATAGAGAAATGCCAATACAACACACAGTATACTTATCTTTATATTGCTGTATGCATCCCTGATGAACAATAATTTGTCTTCTGATAGAGATTCTTGTGGGCATCGCCAATATTTATGTCCACAGCATCCGTTTTTTAAAGTTATTTATAAGAGAACAATATTTGACAGCACAGTGAGGTCGAGTTCAGTTTGGTTTACTGTTCATTGTGTTTGGTTCTCTCTTCCTGCAGGTGAACCTTTGCCTCCTGCAGGCTTCTGTAGAGGAGGGGTCACCGTCATGCTCCAGCAAGTGTGTCACACATGTGTCTCTGGTGGCGCTGTGCTTCGACAGGATTGCCACCCAGTTCAGAATGAACAGGTAACGCCTACCCACTACTCCTCATGTCTGTGTGTATGTGTGTTTGTGTGAGTGTGTTTGTGTGAGTGTGCAATGACTAAGGTTTTTGAGCATGCAGGGCAAATATGCCTGCTATACATGCTTTAGAATGCCTGCTGGCATATTCAGTTGTGGTTATTTGGATGTCATTTTTTCACCTTAGAATCACTTTAGTAAAGTGGCAATCTTGGGAATTTGGAAATAATGCACTTAGATTTTTATTCTTCTATTCATAACTAATTCTCTGATCCAAAAGGTAACGTGTATTTTGTACTCTAAATAAAAGTGTTAAGAGTACAAAACCAACAAATTATATTTCCTTAACTTTACAAAATCTGACATGCACTTAAAACTGGGGTAGGCAGAAATCTGGAGAATGCAACAAAACTGGCAGAATTTGAAAACACACCCTCCTCCTGTAGCTCTCCCCTCTTTGTCCTAAGCCCCTCCCACCAAATGACCACATGCATATGCAAGTACTTCATACAGTAACCCAGTGTTTTCCATATATTGATTTATTTCATCTTATTTAATTGTAGAGTTGCACACAGCATATTTGCTTAGATCTTCCTCGCTCCTCTCTCGCGCTCTCTGTTTATGAGACCACAAATGAGACAAGAATTAGCTAGCTAGCACCCCGGAGTCCCTCCACCTCGCTCACCATTGCTGTTGGCTGCTTCCCTGGGAGGAGAGCGAGCCACAGCTCACAAGATGGACCTTGGTTCTGTAGCTGTAGCGGCTTAAATTAGGCCAGCGCAAACCCTCATATCGGCTGGTTTCATAGTTAGCTGGTGGGCCTTAGCAGTGCTGGGTCTAACCTGTGTAACACCAGCAATAGAGAGTTTACTGATCTGGTGGGGAGGTTGTCTGGTCCTTAAGAGCTGGGATTTGCGCTGGCTGAATTCGGGTTGCTGCGGCTACTGACTGGTGGTCAGTCTCCAGACCTCCTGCCCACTCTCCTTCCAGCCACGTGGTCTGTACCAGTGGGCAGTTAGGCAGAGGATGGTGATGCACCAATAATCGTTTTATAATCTAATCCTAAACCGCGGAATTGTAATCATATTGTGAGATACCAGGAGATTCCTACTCCAACAGCCAATAGGAGCACCCCATGATTGGCCAAAGTCTTCTGTCAGGGGTTGGATTTTCTAAATCCTGACAACAGAACCAAAAGAAGGCACAGAAGTCAATTTATTGTGAAACCAAAATTGAACGGCCTACCCCAGTTTTAAATGCGACAGCAGCCAAAGTCAAGTACAAATTTTTTTCTACTCCTTACAGGGGTATAGTGGAGGAGACACCAAACACCACAGAACATGGCCGACCATCAGTCATGCTGGAGAAGTACGCCTCAGCCACCAAAATGCAGCCTCAGTCTTCTGGCTCACTGCGTTCCAACGCTGGCATCGAGAAAGGCAAAGAGATCGCCGCCAGGCTCAACATCCACCGTATCCACAGCCAGCTGCGAGGCCTCGACTCCACAGGTTGGTTCAGGAGGATGGCAGCACCGTTTGATCCCCTGTGCGTCTTTTTGAAGTGGTGCCCCGACCTTTTACGTGACCTCTGAGCTCTTATACTGTACTAGCTGTCCCTAGGCAGTGTGCAAAGTGCCCTCATTTGACCTACAGTACCCAGCAGAAGTATTAGACCCTTTAACTTTTTGTTCCTTTTCTGCTACAGATAGCATTTTTTGTCAGAATTTCTAACAGGGTATTTTCTAACAGTTGGGTTGTTTTTTCTTCTGTCATAGACATTGGCACATGTGCCATCACAGCAATCCCTTTTGAGAAGTCCAAAGTGCTGTTTGGCCTGGAGGAAATGGAGGAGTTTTCAATGGTGGATGAAACCGATGCCCAGGCCACTGCAGGCGATCTTGGCCGTGCAGCGTCATCTCTTGAGAAATGGGGCTGGATCATGTTTGAATGTGGCATCGAGAACCTCACAGTCAAAGGTAAAAGCATCTCACACTCTCTGAGCAAGACTCATTACTCGTGACTTAGAGATATAATAACAGCAAAGATGAGTTGTATTAAGAGGAATGAGGGGAATTAGTGTACATTTTTGTGAATGTATTACGTTTTGTGTCGCAGGGGGCCGACAGTCAGGAGCCATCCTGTACAATTCTTTTGGTGTGATGGGACGCTCAGACACCGGAGGGAAGACGGGTATGTCTAAGTCCAACGGTTCAACAGGCTCTCAGACGGGCAGCGGCTACAGCACCGACGTCTCTGATGACAACCTGCCGCATGACGCCATCAGCCCCGCCTCTGATGTCAATGAACACTCTGACTCAGACGACCAGGTGAGAAATGCTGAGTGTGCTCTATGAAGTTGCTGCAAAAATGCATCCCTTCCCTCAGACTTTTTTGGCTCAGGTTGAAAAAAGACAACTAGGTCAGAACCAACGTCAAACGTGCCTTAACCCCACCCAAACTTTAAACTCTGCAGTATTTATTTTTAAGTTAATATCTAATTTTTTACCATGGCATTTGAGTGTCAGTCTGTTGCAGGGTTGAGATTAGCTGATTTCTGTGGGGCGACAAACACATGAAAGCCTTTTTAGCTTTGCAACCAGTGACCTCAAACTTTCACTTATATGAGGACAAATAAATTCTCTTTCCTGTTTATTTTTTCTACAGCTTACAAGCACCTAAGTGCCATAGACAGTGCAGGTGGATGTAAACTTGTAAACAGAGAGTCAAAGCTCTACTGCACTGATCTGAAATAAGATATGCTTATATGTGTGGCCAGTCTCCATTTAAAATTGTGCATTATACATCTGTGTTTTTCTTTATGTTTTGTATTTCTATGTTCTTATTTTGTAAACATGTAAACAATCTCGGAACCCATCAGCAACAAGATGCCTCCAGTGTAGTTAGCTAATTCTACAGCAAAGACTTCCTCCTCTGTGTATCTACAAACAAATATCTGCATATGATTGGTTTCTATAGAAACATATAGAAAATAAATATATAAATAATAAATACATTTTTAAAAGGTAATATAAAGTTAAAATGTCATCAGATGATAGCTGATGGGAGCCGAGATTGCATTTCAGCCCACATGGACTGTTAACCTGCTGCTCAAACATGATTGGTCAGTACCACTCAAACTAGAAACTGAAACCAGAATCTTCTGATACCAAAGTCTTGTCCCATTGTCTACTGATTATGCATACATATGCAAATATTTGTTTAGAGAAATTAACATGTAAATATCATGGCCTATTGCCAGTCTTTGAATTAGATCTGAGTAATTACCTAGCTCACACAAAATTAGTTCCTTTAGACTGGTTTAGATGTGTATGAAAAAGTTACATTTTTTCAGAATAATCAGGCAGAGCCTGATCAGAGCGACAACAAAGAGAATAAAGTCACCAAACTATAAAAGATTTACTCTGGTTTTGAAAATAAGCCATAATGGCAAATCAAAGCTGTAATCAGGCTGACAGCGATGTGTTGTCGCTCGAATCAGAGAGGACAGCATTAAATCTATTCCAAAGCTGCAATACTGGAAGCCAGTCCCACCAGCCAGTCTCTTCCATCCCGTAAATCCCGCTCTCCTGTGCTCTGTAGGATGAAGGAGTGGAGTCAGACGACCTGAAGAAAGACCTCCCCCTCATGCCCCCACCACCAGACTCCAGCAGCATGAAGCTCACCATCAGGGAGATCTGGTTCAGTTTTGCTGCTCCCACTAATGTGCGGTCACCTTCACAGGCCATCTCCAGGTACGACTCCAATGATAATGTTAACGTCTGTGCATGTACACTGTGTCCATGACTTGTGCTAGAACTAGACAAACTTTTGAACAAATTTGGAGAGAAAAAACCCACATGTCACTGGCATATAGTTGAGCTTTACATGAAGAGATTGGATTTTTTGATGTGTGGTTGTATGAGGTAATACACTGCCAGTGTATTACCTACAGTAGATGTCAGTCAGCACACCCCCAGTTCGGAGAAGCAGGCAGGAGTACCACCATGGAAGCAAAGCAATTTACTGTGGAGGAGGGCAGCCGCAAAATGCATCTTAGTCACCTAAAAAAAATCAGTATCAGTGTAAGTGTTGGTACGGCCGGGCTCTGAGAACATTATAAATAAAGGATGCAAACGTGAGGGTTACACTAGGAAAGGAAATGAATTTTAGTTAACAAAAGGTTGTGTAGTAACATGAAAAAAAACAACTTGCTGCCACTTAAACTGGAATAATGCAAAAATTAACAATACGGCACAGCAAAGAAACTTTAAAAATAACATGATGTGGACTTAGTGAGAAGAAGGTTACCAGAAGGCAATCAGGATGTGGCAAGTTTTAAAGGAACTTGTAGACAGTGGCCAGCTGCCTCCAATTCCCTAATGACCCCCAGTCAGGAAGCAGGAACACTGAAAATGCACACAAACAACACAGCCACAAGACAACACACACAAAGCCTTGGCAGAGGCCCTGGGGCCAAAACAATGCACGCTACATTTAGAAAATCTCACCACTTTAGCTTGCTGCCAGACAGCCCTGTCCGACGGGGAACTGAAGCAAAAGTGAAATGTATCTATGCTCTCTTCATTGACAAAAACGGTAATTTTACCTCACTGAACACAAGAGCTGCTGGTTTACCACTGACTCAGTCAGTTACTTTGTGTTGTTGTATAGCTCTGGTCCTTTAAAGAGTTACCTCGGATGCACCAAAGCCACACCATAACTCAAACAAACTACTTGATCGAGGCAGTTTGGCAAAGTGACTGTTTTTGTCAGTGGAGTCTGGTGGCTTTGAAGAGAGCATTTTAATAGCATCACTTCCCTGTTGGAAAGGGTTATTGGCAAGATAAAGCGGTGAAAATATTCTAAATATAGCATACACTTTATTACAATTACATTGATTCTTTAAGTGGCTAAAGTACATTTTGTTGCTGCCCCTTCTACAGCAGTGCATTGCTTAGCTTCCATAGTGGTACTCCTGCCTGCTTCTCCAAACTGGGAGTGCACCGACCACCATCCACTGTATGTAATGTGCCAACTACCCCACATAAAAAATTTGAAATGGAGAGGCATTTATGAAAATTCTCGCCAGCTATTAAAATAAGGCTTTTGTGTCCCTGGCAACTGTCTGCATCAGCAACTTTGTTGCTTCTGCCAGCCTCCCAGGTCAGGAGTGTTGGGGTTTCGATTTGAGTTTTATTAGAAGCCAACTAATTGATTGCAACACATCTTGTGTCTGCAGTTGGGAATAAAGGACCAGAAATCAATTCTTAACCACGTTGTCGACATCACGATAATATATGACATACAGCGTTTTATCTGAAACAGGAGAAATATATATATATATTTCAGGATATACTGATCAATAGTTAATATGAGGTAATCAAAGACCCTCTGACTCTCTGTTGTGTTTACAGGCAGTTGAATCTGCTCAGCACAGCCACACCTGCCATTGGAGCCTGGTTGGTTCCCATCGACCAGCTCAAGTCTTCTCTACGCAAACTGGACATGGAGGGCACGCTGCGAGTGTGTGCTGTTATGGGCTGCATCATGACCGAAGCTCTTGAGGTCAGCAGTACATTTGTAAACTCAAACCAGTGATCACATATGAAGAATGTCCAGTATCCTCTGATTGTATTAAGAAATCAGCATTTTATCAGACCTGCTTAACTGGTTTTACTGGATATTAAGAGCGTTAATTTTAAACTTTTTCATTTCCCAACAGAAAAAGAGCATCCACATTCCCATTCGGAGCAAGTACAACCGTGTGACTAAACGAGCTCGCTACCTGTATGAGAATCCTTCCTGTATGCTCTGTAACATCCTTCACCGCTACCTGCAGCAGGCTGACTACTCTGTCATTGAGGAGGCTACCATGGTCAGTGCGAGGCCTCTGGATCTATTCTTTTTCATTACATCAACTTTACAAAACTCTCCAACTTGGCCATGTGTAGTAAAATGGCTACTAAAGTGTGTATGGTCTCATTTGGACCCAAGTTTACGAAAAAGGCAATTATTTTAAGTGGTCTTGAGTGCTTTTGGCTCCACTTTGCTACTTAAATTGATCCGTTGCCGGTGGCACTAATCCAGTTCTTCCTCTTCTTTCCATCCCAGAATGACGGGGTTCCAGCCCTTGTGACTCTCAAGAAGGGTCTTGTCGCTTTGGCCAGACAATGGATGAAATTTATAGTGGTAACTCAGGGCTTCAAAGCCATTGGTCTGATGAGGCCCAACCAGCTTGCCAAACCCAAGGAGCCTCAGCAGAGCCTGGGTGAGGCCATCTTAGGCCTGGACAACGGTGCTGCACTGCAGAGCGACACCAGCGCCGATGGAGCTGAATTTGAATTTGACGCAGGTGGGAACTTCCAGCTTTCAGTGTGCTAATGCTGTTTTGACCCGCCCATCTGTTAGCACAGATGGGCTGTGAAAATCCTCACCTCTTCTTCTTAATGTTTGCACAGATTTAATCAGACTGTTATCACTTGTTTACAGAGAGGAAATGTAGACATAAATGATGCAGTATAAATCTTCAGACTTGACTTTTGTAGCAGTCGTATGGTTTTTCTAGGAGTTTTATTTTATGTCATTATTGTGAAGCCACAGTGAGTGAACACACCATGCTGCTGGAGGGAGCATGCAGTCGCCCCCCACCAAAAGAAGCAAACTCTGGTCCTGTGAGCGGAGTGGAGATCATGAGGAAACTGTCCAAGTCCCACACACACAACGAGTCTGCACTCAGGATAAAGGTACTATTAAAACAGTTGGTGTCTCTTAGAGCATGTTCATACCTTGTATTAACAAACGTTTCGTAGATCTGAATGCAAGTGGACAGCCAGAGTGCATCGTCCGTCACACCTGAGTCTATTATGCGTCGCCAGCTAAACACTTGTGTTCAGAGTTCATCACTGCTGACGTCAAAGGGCCCAGTGCACAGCTACTCTGTCCACATTCTTGCTAGCTGCTCGCTGGCATGCTAATCAAGCTTGCGGTTGTATCGTACAGGTAGACCTGCTCATACACATTCCTAGGGCTCCAACTACCATTGCACTATTTGCATTATCAATTAATTTGCAGGCATTTTATAGATGAACAACTGAGAGGAAAAATCAAATCCATTCCATTGATCAACTAATTTTTTAATAGACTTAGTGTTTTAGCTCTACACATTTCCATAGCTGTTCTGTACCACACTATATGGAGACCGCATTGTGACGATAACAGTATACAATTTTCAGCCTGGTCATCTAGTGAGAGAGAGTTCCACAAGTTTTTGAGAGGACATACTTTGGAGCAACTGGGAGGTGTTAGGGGTTATTTTAGTTTTCCCAAAGGACGGGGATTACATAGCGAGCTATCAGAGAAACAAAGATGATATATTCTTGTTTGGGGAATTGTGTTTTACCTCTCCTGGAGGGCATGAACTGAACTGTAACCAGCCCTGAAAAACACTAGTGTTTTTTGTACGGAAAGTGACATTTAACAGCAGTGCTGTCCTGACTGTGGTGTGAAGGTGATTCCACTGTTGTAGAGCCAGGAGGGATCAGAGCTGGCACTGAATGGAGAGATGACATTTCCCTCTCTCTGCCAGATAAATGACTACTTCACCTGCAAAATGATCATTTGTATATCAGTTACTCACCCCGTGTTACGGTGCATTTGGGAAGAAAACCTTTTTTATTTTTTCACGCTCTTTTTTCTCACATGCTTTACAGTGACTGAAGAATCGGAAAATGGACAAGTTTCTTGATAAAGTGAAGTCATAGGGGTCTGCATTTAACAACAGCAAAACTATATCACAACATACATTTACAAACTAATAATCAAAGTCTCATTTATCCAGTCGTACGCTCAGTATTTGAACACACCTTGAATTTTCACTAAAACCTTAGTATGTAAAACACTTCTGCAGACACAGTCTTGGCACATATGGTAAGTGTGCCTGCGCTGTTTATGTGGAAGTGTTTTAAATAGCAAGGTTTAGTGAAAATGCATGTGTTTAGGAGTGCTGATCATACGACTGGATGAATTACACTTGGATTAGAAAGTGCTGCAGGAATGACGTTTTTCTGTTGGCTGTCGTGAAGTTAGCAACGCCCTTGTTCCCTCATCAAAAGGCCAATGGGATTAGTCCACTGGACATTGGATTATTGCAGAAAATATAGTAGGCAGGATTTTTCTAGACAAAAAACAATATATAGACTCGTATAAAAGAAATCCCTCTCAGCCATCACTTATGACCCATTAAAAGTGGGTGGTGGTGTATTTTATGTGTTCGTGATGTGTACCCCTGCAGCGCTCAGGTGAGATCAGGTGAGGTTTTGATGCAGTGAAAAAGTGCAAACGTAGCAAGGCAAAATGCCAAATGAGAGTGAATCTGTGTATTACATCAACTTTGGAGCGTTTCCATAATGGATTGTTGCTGTCAGCATATATCCCACTCATCTTTGAAATATAAAAAGCCACAGGCGGTGGTACAGTATGAACACGATCTGTACATTTGTCATACCCAGGGCTCTCATCCGTACCAGTCTCTGAGCTACACCAGCGGTGACACAGCAGCTGACTCACCCGCCCACGTGAGTCGTGCAGGCCTGCCAGCTAAGGACAGCCCCAGGAAGGAGAGTCTCCTGAGTAATCTGACAGGCAGCTTTCGGAGTCTGCACAACCTCCTGGAGGGCATGCCCCAGAGGAGCGAGCCGTCTGCTGCTGCTGCTGCAGCCAAGAGCAGCTCCCTCACTCGCACAGGTACACATGCCCAGACCACTGTTGTGTCACGCTGTCGCTGACCACAAGATGTTGAAGGTTCTGGTGACCACAGAATAGCGTTCACCTGGTTACAACATGATTAAGTCCGGTTGTCATTTTTGCTGCAAGGCTGACCTCTACCGTTCAGCAATGTGAATAAAAAAAGACTAAAATAGATTTACAACTCGGTCCCTCCTCAAGCACATGCCCACTGTGAATGAATCTGAAGAGTCAGTGTGCTGTGAGTTATTTACTTTGTTTCACACTCAACATTCAGCAACCCCCACTGATATCACCTTACTTTATAAAAGCAGAAACACCACACAAACTTTTCTCAACACTGTCTAACAAAACCTGTCAGGGAGGAAACTGTGTAAGATAACAAGATCATTTAGTATAAGACCATGACATTAGAGAGAGGGAGAGGGGTGTGTGTGTGATGTGAGAGTTTGAAACTGCACAAACCCCATCTGTGGCATAACTTTGATAATCACCAAATTTAAATTTACATTAACTGTATGTGCCTCGGTGATGCAATATGAAGATGATGTGTGAACAGCAGTCAGTGTCTGTGTGCTGCCCTTTTTTTGTAGTCTCTTCCATGATGTAATGTACTCTCAATCTCTTTCTTCTGGGGCTCAGGAAACAGTGTAGGGACAGACATGCTGACCGAGCACCCGCTGCTGTCGGAGCCGTCCTCCGTCAGCTTTTACAACTGGATGTCCAATGCTGTGGGTAACAGGACTGGGGCTGTAACCCAGGACTCACCGGTTAACCGCTCCCAGCACAACAGCCTGCAGACAGGTCAGATACCACGGACTCAGGGTTTATCTTGGAGGGGTGTTTGCCATTTATCAAATCCTGATTGTATATTGTGTGTGTGTGTATATATATATATATATATATATATATATGTATGTATGTATATATATATATGTATATATATATATATATATATATATATATGTATGTATGTATGTATGCATGTATATATATATATCGAAGGGAAACTGCTGTATTTTTTAACCTGGGCCCTATTTTCCCATATTTTTGTGTCGAAGTGACTAATGAGAACAAAAACTTTTGAAACTGGTTCAGCATTGAGCCTGACCACTGCAACCAACAGTCCCACTTAGGCCATATGCACACCGTCAATTTCCAGCTACTATAAGTGCTTGTTTTTGCCACTGATAGGCTTGGATTGTTATTTTTAGGTGTCCGCCGACGTTATGGAAAGGATTCCTACAAAGAGTGAGATCCTTTTTGTTTCAGAAGCAGCCAAGAAATTGCAATCACCAAGCCCACCAGACTCCATTGAAATAAACAGTAATTTTAGCATGTAAAGAGCCAGCATATCTTCACATCTGACTAGGCGAATTAAAGGTTTGTTTCAACCAATCCAGAGTTAGAGATTGTTGGAACTCTGGAAAGATAAACCAAGATGGTTTTTGTGAGTTTTATTTTGTTTCTGTCGACTTGGAATGAAATGTATTTTACGATGATAAAATCACTGTTTATTTAAAAGGAATCTGGTGGCCTTGGCAAAGATATTTCAAGGTTGTTTCTGGTTAAACCAAAAGGACGTCACTCCTTAACAAAAAGGGCTGTCTCTGTAGGGATCCTTTCCATAATGTTGTCAGTCAGTTACAATAACAATCTGAGCCTGTCAGTGTCAAAAACAAGCACGTAAAGTGGACATAAATTGACGATGCAAACATTGCAGCCTGTTTTGCCACTGCCAGCTGCAGCGCTCTCACTCAGCACTGGACCAGTTTTCAAAAACTGCTGTCTCTATCAGTCACTTAGATACAAAAACATGGGAAAACAAGGTCCAGTTTAAAAAGCGAAGTCATCATCTCATTTTTAATTTATATGAGGATTTCAGATCATTAAGATGATTAAATATCTGTACACTATAATGACAAAATAATACTTTTTTCTCTGTTACTAAATATTTTGTTATAATGCTGTTAGACTTTATACTAATCATTAACACCGTAATGCTTCAGCTAGTAGATAACAGATCTGAATTCAGTTAAATGTCCTTATAATGTTGCTGTTTTACTAGACCAACCGGATTCTCCTGTCAACCACTACCAGTACCAACCACTCCCAACAGTTAACAGTCCAGAAGGAGGTCAGGGATTGTTGCTCAGTGTTGTGCTGATGGTGTTGGTGAGCTAGTTAGCCAGCTAGCAGATAGTTTGTCCCCCTTTGTTAGCTTGATAGTCACCATGAACTCTGTGTTAATGTATCCCACAGAAAAACTTGGAAACAGGATTGTTGTTGGTGTGTAAATAAAACAAGATTACCTTTTTTCATGCTGGAGGCAAGAACAGTTTATACTGTATATTGTTGGTTAAAGCTGGGGTATGCAGTTTTTTTGGTTTTGGTTTTGCTTAGTTGGGCAAAAATCCCATAATAAACTTTGAGCATATTGTAATCCAAGTGGACTAAGACAAAGTTAGACTTCTGTACCTCCCCGTGGCTCTGTTTTCAGGCGTTAGTGTCCAGCCCATGATGGGAGACAGGTCACAGGTCATTTCAGAGAGAGGACAGCCGTAGTGGCTGTTCCACAAATGCAGATGTGTGCGCACGTCCCTTCAGAAGGTGAAAGCCAGATTCAGTGGCAGACAATCCTGCAGAGAAAGTTGCTATTTCAGCATTGACAACAACAGTCTGACAATAAACAAAACACATGTCAATGTTGGTGAAGTTTTTCAGAGATGGGGAGAAAATGTTGCTAATAAAATTATAGAATCAGCACTATATAACAGCATCAGGATCACAGTCACAATTGGAATGAGTGGAATTAATGACTAGTACTTGCACAGGTTACTGTATGAAGTATGTGCGTATGCCCGTGTTCATCTGGTGGGAGGGGCTTAGGACAGAATGGAGAGCTGCAGGAAGGTGTTTTTCAAATTCTCCCTCCTTTTTCCCCCCAGAAAACTGCCTACCACAGTTTTAAAGCCATTATGTATATATTTTTCTCTGTAGTTATAGCATTTGTCAAATTATTCTGCTAGCATATGTTTTTATTTGTTGAACAACGAGACAAACTGAGCAGCATTGTTGTCTGTTACCTTGCCTTTTGTGTTACTACCATTGGGGGGCGCCAAAGTCACAAAGTTTTTAAATCCTAAACAAAATGCCTTTCAACAAAAAGACCAAGATGCAGTCTTACTTGCAAGATCTTAATGTTGTCTTCATTGAGTGGTATATGAATGGGTTTTACCTGCTTTCAAATTAAAATGCAACAATACCAGTTAGGGCTGCAGCTAATGGTTAATTTCTATTTTCAGTTAATAAAAATATGACTAATTAATGTCAGAAAATGGTAAAAATGTCGATCAGTGCTTCCCAAAGCCCAAGACGACGTCTTCAAATGTCTTGGTTTGTCCACAACCCAAAGATAGTTAGTTTACTGTCATAAAGGTGTCAAGAAACCAGAAAATATTCACATTTAAGAAGCTAGAATTAAAGAATTTTGATTTTTTTTGTTTTTTTCCTTAAAAATAAGTGAAACAGTAATTGATCATGAAGTCAGTTGGTGATTCATTGAATAGTGGGCAACTAATTGGTTAATGAATCGTTGCATCTGTACTACCAGTCAGATACCTAACATTGGATTATTTGCCCCCAACATGTCATTAAAAGGCCTTAATGAATAATATTGTTTGATATCAGAGTCAGGTGGCAGCTTATTAAACTCTCTGGAATACCCTCATAGCTGTGCTACGGGCCGGCAGCATTGCTTCTGTGGTGGTGGTGGATAGATAGAGTCATGATGTTTCCTCACTGTTACCTTCCTGACAAACATTGTGTGAGTTTAACAACCTCCAGTCTTTGTTCATCCCTCACAGTGCTGCTCTTTCCTGCCCTCTGTTCCTCTGTACTCCCACTCATCTTCTGAGTTACAAACAGCTGCTCCCTGACTTGTTTCATTCTCCCTCAGTAGCAGTTTATTATTTGAAATCACGCACTGGAGCACCGAAATGATACATCTTACCTTGACAATTTAGCGGAGCACTTCTGATTGTTTGGGTACAATTACAATGTGTGAAAGGCTGGATTTGTGCCCAAGACCATCAGCTTTGTCATTATCTACTTACCCAGGTGTCAGCCAGTAACAGCGCAGCAAATTAGTCACAACCGTTCCTCACAAACAAATTAGGAGAATGTGATGAGGCTGTCTAAATTACACATAAAATGGCCATAAAGTTCCTCTTCTAACTGCCTGTTATGTGATGGTTGCCTTCCTTTTAATTCACTCTAACGTCTTTATTATGAAGAGGCAGAGCAGTAAAGTGTCTCACCCTGCAGCACTCGACTCACTCACTGCTGCTTGTGCTCACATGTCACTATCATACTGCCACTGATATACTCTGGTGTGAGTATATCCTGGAGGAGACACACAACAGTAGCTCCCAGGACCTGCCCGTTCTTACACAGCCTGTATCCCAAACCTCTCCTCTGTGCCCTTAGGTGGGACATGCAACCTGCCCACAATCCCCTCAGCATCAGACTTCAACACAGTGCTGTCCAGCGACCAGAACACCCTGGATGGGACCCACTCCCAGCACTCCCAGCACAGCACCAGCCAGGACGACATGGCTGATATTGAGGAGGGGAACCAGTGTCCAGCTGCTGTTCAGCTGGCCGATGCTCAGGTGATCTGTATTTCTTTGTCTTTTATTGTGCTTTCTGTCTAAACCTGCACCAAGCTGCCAATTAACATGATGTCTGCAGCTCTTAAAGTCTTTTGTTGTGTGACTTTGTGTTATTTTTTCATTTATTTTCATTCATGTTTTAAACAGCTTTTTAACAGGCAGAATATTTAGTGTTAAAATCGATTTGTAAGTAACGTAATGTCACTTATGCCAGGTTGAAAAACAGATGAATCCATACCTGATTGGCAGATTAAACAGTAAATGAGTGTTTATCCCGGTTGAGTATACTCACGTCATATATCCTTTGTCTTCCCTTGATTCATGTTTCCTTCATTCCATATGTAGGTGTCAGAAACTCCATCTGCAAGGACTATAGTTCAGTTACCACTTCACCTCTACAAACACCTGTTTTCATTTTGTGCCTTGATATCTGTTTCCCACCCTCAGGTTGTTTTCAAGCCTTTGCTGAGCTACACAGGCATCCAGGCCCAAGACGCCACTCCTCTTAGCTACAAGATGTATTTTGGAGAGCACCTGTCTTTCTCTGGCAACCTCGAGTGTCTCAGAGCAGACATCGTTGACTCTGACACCTCCAAAGATCGGAAAAACAAAAGGTCCAGGAGGTAAAATAAATGTTAATCATAAAATGAGTGTTACAGACCGGGAAATTAATTTTCATTGTTTTTCCTTAGAGAGATGATTCAGATTTTTTGAAGTGGGGTTGTGTGAGCAGTCGGCATGTTTCCAGTTTGGAGAAGCAGGCAGGTGTAACGCCAATGTACTGCTTTGCACGGGGCAGCAGCAAAATGTCAGTTTAAGTGTACACTATATTGAGAATATTTTTATTGCCCTTTCCAGTGGCATAGCTGTTACAGCTTCAGTCCCCAAGCTATGCTCTCGTCAAAGTGACAAGACCCTACTGACGAAAACAGTAATTTTAGCTTTCTGAAGACAGGAGCTACTGGTCTACCACTGCCTTGATCTGTTAGCTTGTATGTGTTATTTTGTGACTTTGATAAGTCCAAACTAACCTTAAAACACCAAAGTCATACAATAACACAAACTGATGGATAACTGATCAAGGCAGCGGTAGATGAGTAGCTCCTGTCTTCCACTAGCTAAATTACAGTTTGACTTTTAAGAGAGCAAGGTAACACCTTCAGTTCCCCATTGGAAAGTGCTGTCTGTGTCAAGGTAAAGCACCCCAGTCCATAGCAGTACATTGCTTAGCTTCTGTGGCAGGACTCTTGTCAGCTTCTCCAAACTGGGGATGCATTACTAACATCTACTGTAGGTAATGCACTGACTATGTATAAGTACCTCATACAATCTTAGTTCAAAAAAAAAAAAAAAAAAAAATGCAATCCCTTCAATGTGATTTAGTGTGGTGTTCTCTCTAAACCTAAGTTAAAATGTCTGCTTTATACATCCATAACCCTTCGTCTGTTCCTCCCTCTATCCTTAGACAAGGTATGGTAAACCTCCCTCCGCTGGAGTTCAAGCCAGCACTGCTGATTGAGACATTCAGCCTGAATGCTGTGGTGATGGAGAAGTCGACCAGCGCTCCACAGGGCCCCACCGCAGCACCGCTCTCCTTCCACGACCTCAACCGCCGCCACTACAACACATTCCACTGTGATTTTACCACAGCCTGTCAGGCCATCAGCCAGCGTGTTGACATGGCCCTGGTACGCCTTATCCACCAGTTCAGCACCATGATCGACGACATCAAGGCCACGCAGACTGATATCAAGCTGAGCCGCTACACCGCCGGCTCGGCCTCCCCAACGCCCACCTTCAAGGCCCGGCCATACCGCCACTTCAGGTCCTCTGACTTCAGCCGCAGCTCCAGAGGCAGCCTTAATGGCGCGGGGCGCAGCGGAACCCAAACCCTGAAGAGCAAGAGAGGGGTGGGTGGAGGAGGAGCAGGCGGAGGAGGATCGGGCGTTACTGGGGGTTTACCACCTAATGGGCCTCCATCAGGCATGGACACGCTGGGGAGAAGGGAGCCTCGTGGACGCAGCTCCCTGGGACGTTCAGAGCGACGCACCTCTAAGGTAATGAAAAGAGACTTTTTCTTTTTTTTACACTTTTGAGGAGTCATGTCATTTAAAGTCACAAAGGTCAGAACCATAGAGTGTTTCAATGATTATGGAGACGTTCTCAGTAAATTTGCATTGCTAAGCAACAGCCTGTGTTCACAGTGAATGTGTAGACTCATAAACTTGAAAACCTCGACAGCATAAACACTCTTAATGGGTCCAACTTATTCCCACTGTGTACTAGCAGACTTTTAAAAGGCTGAGGTCTTCTCATATTTAGAGACAATGTGAGTTTTTAGCCACACACTATGAAATTTAGCAAAGTATGGGGATCTTGCAGGGTTACTGTTTGCAAGACAAATCCACCAGTTTCTCCTCCTTTTCCACTGTCCAAGAGAGCAGAGATTTGTTCACGTTCTCGTGCCTCCTCAGATTCCCCTCCATATTTACGGTCTACCTTGTTTGCTGCTACCTGATTGATGACACTGTTCTTCACTGTTTGCATGAGCCAAGACTGAAAACTAACGATAATATCAAACTAAATTTGTCGGAACATCAAGACAAGAAAAAGGGTGACTCTGACTGAGTATTATTACCACCTTGCACCAAACGATCAGGATCACAGGAGCGCACACCAACTGAGTTAAAACTCTTATGATTTAATTATGACAGTGCTTGCAAAGTTGTTTGGTGTAAGGTCTGCATTAGTTTTCTGTCAGATACGGATATTGGCAAATGCTGCAGCAGCAATTAAACTTGGAACCCGCTCAGAATATTTATGTTTTCATATCATAAAATGTCCCAGAGATTTCCCAGTGTCAGCACTCAGAGCAGGCCATTTCAAAGTCTAGGAGCCCAATTGCCTTTTTTAATCTACAACTTGGAACAGCCAGTATCTGCCTGAGGACTTCAGTTAAGATCTCTCTCAAATACTGTTAAATGGTCTCAAATATTCCTCAGTTGGGTACCTGTCCAGACCTGTAAATATGGTCAGTAAAATCCCAAAATTCATACTGAAACTGTCATTTTCTCCCCACAAACCCTAGAGGGAGCCAGTAGATAATAAACATTTCTCAGAGCAGGCACCAGTCGCTGAAACACAGTGTCAGCTGTTGGTGAGACACAGTCCCCAGTTTTAGGTAGAACTTTAAAAATAGAATCTTGTCTGCAAAGCTGTCTGACTTTATAGTTCTCACCGTGACAGGTTTTTTTTCCTGCCTTGATAGTTAGAATGGGGGCTTCAGCCTTCAAGAAGCTCAACATTTTTTGAAGTGAAGGGATTTCTATAAAAATAGAAGGCTCATCAGAGGGACTCGTAACAGACTTACACAGATATAATCTAAATCAGAGCTCTTAGAAAGCCCTCTACAGAAATAATTGAGTTACGTTCTTGTTTACTGAAGTAAATGTCATGAGAAGCTGTTGTCATCTTACAGATCTCATTACCTGTCTCTGTCGTGACCGTCGACAGGCTGATACAGTAGCTACACTGTTACAGTAAACAGTAGTGCAATAAAAGAAGAAATAAGTCAGCCAGGCCGTTTATTTACCCCTCAGCCCCATGATGTATATTGTGACATTTCTATTTGTTTTATAACGTGTATTATTGTGTAACGCCTTCAGGTGTCACGGAAGGGCTCCCGTGACGTGGCAGACCACATGGCCATCCAGATGGACGACTCCGACTCCATCACGGTGTCAGAGCAGAGCGAGCCGTCAGCAGAATGTTGGCAGAACATGTACAAGCTGCTCAACTTCTACTCCCTCATCTCCGATCCCACTGGCATCCTGGAGAAAAGCTCCCCAGAGAATTGCCTTTCAGGTGGGAATCAGCTTCCAGCTGATTCATCCAGTTCCTAATTTCCATCCTTTATCCCACTCATGCATTTCCATCCTGCTTTACTTTGTACTTTTGCCTTTTATACCTTCATTCCTCACATTATTATTTGACGATATTGGTGTAAATTTGCTCTGCTCAGCCCGACAAGCCTTGCTGTTAAATCTTAATTCTCTCCTGACGCATCTTCTTCCCTCCTGAGCTTAAGTGTAGGTCTTTGTGCCTTCGCTGTTTTGTAAGACTTTATTGACAAAACTGTCACTTCCTAATATATTGCTTTTATTGACTTTTATTTATACTTATACTTTAGACATTACACATTTCCTTGTGACATTGTACGTATCCTACCTGTACAAATCTGCCTGGGCAAAAGTCAGTACTCAGCTGCTGTTATTTTGCATGCATTTAATAATTTCTGTAATGCATTAGCATTAATAATGTGCTAAACAGGATGTCTTACGGTCATTTTCAGGTTCATTCTTGTGTTTTGGGTTTCCACTAGAACATGTTTACATGCTTTAATGATCAAAAAGCACTTAATTATCCTTATACTTTCTGTGCTGAAACACCCGTATTCACCCTCTGTCTGAGACTACATTTTAGCGCTTGTCTCTTGATGCGCCCCCTCCCAAAAAAGCCCAGTCTGCTCTGATTGGTCAACCTGTGCAGGTCTACCTTATCTCTGCATCCATGCACCATCATTGCAGACAGGGAGTAACTGTAACAGACGGAGTATGGCGACACTTTCTCTTGTGAAGAGCTTCTAAATACAACCGGACATGTTCCTGCAGGAATATGAACTGAAATTGGGGAGAAATTAACAACAGCAGCAGGGATGTCAGTTTGGGTTAATTTTACTTTCCAAAGGCCAGCACCCAACCAACCGATAACTAACTAGTTAACTTTAAAAAAAAAAAAAAATCAATGCAAAATACAGGAGGCCTTTCTTTTTAGTCTAGTGCTCCTGTGACTCAGTGAGCTGTAGGGCTGCATTTTAAAATGCTGTCCATTCAGAAGTGATGAAATTTTAATGTTTTGTGATGTAAAAGTTTGCCTTTTATTTTAGTTTTTGTTGGCTTTGCTAGCAGGCAGCCGGCTAGCCACATTAACACGTGGAAACATGCCTACTGCCTAAATTCTGTCTCCACTAGTTTTCTGGCTGCGCTGCACTGTGCACCATCACAGGTCGTGAGGGAGCTAACATTAGCTAGCTTGCCTTGCTGCTCATTTGGCCATTATAGCTGCTAACGGTGTTTATAGTGGCAGAACACGTTCCTGTGGAAACATTGTGCCCACCTTCCAGCCCATCTGAACATCTCCTTTACATGTGTACTTTGCTTCCTCACTCTTCTCTGCAGAAGGTGGACGTCGGCCCTCAGAGCCGCTCTGTAAAGTGATCTTTGAGAACGAGCAGCAGGAACCCACCACCCCTAACAAGCCCCCTGGGGCAGGCGGGCGGCGGCGTAGCTTGGTGAGCTCTGAGCCACAGCACGTCACACTCATAGTGTTCGGCATCGGTATGGTGAACCGTACCCATCTGGAGGCTGACATTGGTGGGCTGACCATGGAGGCTGAGCTGAAGAAGATCCATGGAAGTTTCACCCTGAAGGAGAAGATGAAAGGTGAGGTCAAGATCTGTGTGGGTGTTAAATGATGTTAGTGTGTTTTATTTATTTTTCAACTTGGTCAGTCTGGGCTGAAAAATGAAGCCGAAGTAGAAGTGCCAAAAACTGCAGCTCCTTGATGGCCACTCGAGTCTCGCTCCAAAAGCGAGTCAATCCCTACCTCCCTGTTAAAATGCCCAGCTTTACAGCAGAAATACCCATGTTTACAGCCTGGTACAAAAAACAGTTTTGGTCTCTATAGATAATTTCCCCGTTCATGACAACTGTATGGAGGGTCAATTTTTATATAGCTCGCATTTAAACGCAATTAATTATGCTCAAGTTGCGTACAATTAATTTTCTCTGCAAGTATCATCATTACAGTTAACATTAGCTTGAAATGCACCGTGCTAACCAAGCTAGCAGCTAGCTTTAACTGGTTGCGTTTGCTCTAATCACTCAGACATGTGAAAATGTATGGAGAATAGGTAGCAGAACAAGATTTAGGTGTAGCAAATTTTCTGCTTTCCATTTGTATTCCGGATACTATTGACCAATCACATTTGAGTGGGCTTTGGTTGCCTGCAGGTTAACAGTCTGTGTGGAGAACAGAGAGCCAGAACCCACTGGCTATCATCTGATAATGATTAAGCTTTTTTAATCTGCACTCATTTGCAAATATCTGTTCATTTAGATTAACCGAAATATTATCTGGACCTGTCTCAAGTTGCTAATTGGACTGGAAACAATGAGCAGCACACGGAAGAGGAAGTGTTGGCCCAGATATTCGCTGGCTATACCAGATCTCCAGAAATATTTTCTCAGAGGCTTAGCATTGTCAGACCGTTTGCTGATGGGTTCTGAGATCGCCTACACAGACCTTATTTCCTTGATTTGTTATGAAAACACAAAGAAGATGAGAACTATCAGAGCTGTCCGACATCAACCTAGCATCAAAGCCTTTGGTCAATAAATTCAATTTTGATAATAACAATTATAGTCTTTGGCCTGAAACTTCTTGGATCTATTTTTCTGTTTAAGAGTTATAAGGTTTAAAATTCCAAAAGGAAGCCCTTGTCTCTTGATTGAATGATTGATTCCAAAAGATAATTCATTTTATTTCTGCAATAACAGCTAATTCCTGATAGATACAAGTTTGTTCTGTTGGATGTAATCTTTCTTTTATTGGTGTCCACAGATATCCTGCACCAGAAAATGACTGAGACGTGTGCATCGGCTCACATAGGAGGGGTAAACATTGTCCTACTGGAGGGCATAACTCCTAACATCCAGTAAGTACAAATTCTCTTTAACTTCTGCTAATCAGGATTGTGGTATAACAACTATTTTTTTTAATGTTTTAATGAAGGTTTTTTAATGTTTCATTTTGAAAGAAATTCTCTGGATAGCAACTAACAGTGTATTGATCCTAACCTGTGCTGTTTAAAGTTAGTCTTTAAAAAAACTTTTAATTATCACTAATAATGATTTTTGGTGTTTTGATTCAATATTTTTTTATTTTTGTGTTACCTAAGAGAACAGCTATTTGATTTGAACTGTGGTCTCGAGGATAGAAAACTTCTAAGCTCATAGGTATTACAACTTCACCAACATGGTTATTTACTTTTTAAGATACTCAGTGATATCAAAGTATTGAGTGAAGTCAAGGCAGAATACCTTCTTCTTGCACAAAACACAGCAACAGAACTTCTACATACTGTAGATGCTTTAATGTCAAGTACGTTTGTAAAATCAAGAGTTTAAACTAAAACGTAGAGACAGTGTTTTCCACAAGCGTTGGCACTCAGCAGGAGCCAATTACTGACTCCTCTCCAGACGGGAAATTTTAACAGCGTTTTTTTGTTTTTTACTGCAAGCAATTTCCTCAAAACATAACCACCCTAATCAGGTTACAAGCCTTGTAGTCATGCATTGAGGCGGGCTGATGCATCTCCTCGCTGCTTTGATTCAGTTTAGAACTTCTACTGCTGCTTCAATAAGAAGCTTTTTCTTCATCTCATTCTATTTAACAGACTCTCCCACTGTGAAAATAAAACTGAGACTTAATCCTGTTTTCATACTGTATGCTCTGAGCCGCACTCGTGTGTTTGAATTTGTACATGCCACACACAACTCGGCACTTTATAGTTGCTACTGATGTATAAAATTGCCCAATATTCAGATGTAAATAAGAATGATTGTAGTGCCACTGGCATGTTTTTCTACTCCCTTGTTTGCTTCAAGTAAAGGCAATGTGCAGACATTAACTAAGAGATTTTCAACAGCAGGCAATGCAGATGTCTTTGGTCACAAAGCATTATGTCTGCTGTGTTAGCAGTTGTTTCTTCCAGATACAGTTTCCTGATGACATTAAATTTAACTCTGGTTGTCCTTGATAGGATAGTTTATTTTGCACTCTTAGAAATAAAGGTGTTAGCTAGAACTACATAGGGTTCTTTGGCTTGTCACTGAAGGAGAAATATTTTTGGTTCATGGTATAACCTTTTATAAGGTTCCACCTGAAACAACATGAACCCAACATAAAGGGTTATACGTAGAACCATCTATGAAAGCTTCTAAAAAAAACCCTTCCATGGTGTATTAGTTCCACCTAGACCCCTCTCTGGTGTTTCTCTCAAGAACCTTTATATCTTCTAAGGGTGTTTACAAGAACCAATCAAGGGTGTTCTACTAAGAATCTTCTACCTTTTATATTCCAAGGGCTTCATCTAGAACCCGCCCGGGGGTTTCTACTGAGAACCCTGTTTATATTTCAAAGGTTTCATCTAGAACCAACCAAGAGGTTTTTACCAAGAGTCTTTTTATTTCCCTAAGGTTTCATCTAGAATCCATTCAGGGATTTTTACCAAGAACCCTTCTGTATTCCAAGGGTTTCATCTGGAGTCCACCCAGTGGTTTCTTTTGAGAACCCTTTTAATTTCCAAAGGTTTTATCTAGAACCCACCTTGGAGTTTCTACCAAGAATCATTTTATATTCCAAGGGTCTCATCTAGAAGCCCCCAAGGTTTTGTTTGTTTGTTTGTTTTACCAAGAACTCTTTATATTCCAAGGGTTTCAACTAAAACCTTCCCAGGAAGTCCTACCATGAACCCTGTTATATTCCAAGGGTTTCATCTAGAACCCAGCCAGGAGGTTCTACCGGAGTTGTACCAAGAACCTTTTAATTTTTTACTAATCAATAATTTAGCCTGGGGGCCCAGGGAACTAAGTCCAGCAGCCTTGGGCTACATGAGGCTCCTAAAGGGCTGGAGCTGATGTGGTCCAGCAAAACCCACAGCACTCCGGACTCACAATTATATTTTTAGGGAGTGAAGATTTTGTGAAATCACTACCTCTATACTCTTTACTGTTTCAATGATGCAGTTGATCTCAACTCTACCAGGATGGTATCGTATCGTATCATTTGCAGCTTACCATATTGTATCGTATCATATTGCATTGTATCGTATGGTATTGTATCATATATCAACTATGGCAGAACACGTCAAGTACAATAAACTGATTAAGAGGATTCCAGATATATCTACAAAGAACCCTTTCTTCAAAAAAAGCTTTTTCAGAAACAAGTGGTTCTGTATAGAATCTCAGTCCTTCAGGAAGAACCCTTTTGCAACCCTTATTTCTAAGAGTGTAGTTTTGAGCTACTTCCTCAATCCAGGCATTTTCACTTGAAGTGGCTCCTCAGTGTTCTTGCTTGTGAAAAACTGTTTTCACCTTATGGTGTCTCTGAACTGTTTTACACTTTTTTCTGCTCTTCTTTTTTTTTTACATTCCTTGGCTTTCTCTTCCAACTACTTGCATAGACTGGAGGATTTCCCAACATCTCCCACCAGCACAGCTAAACAAGAGTTTCTGTATGTTATTGCTACCATGTAGGGCTCACATGCATTCATAAATCCAAACCACAGCTGCCCTGATTTCACATCCTTCATTTGTCTGAGTCGCCTGTCATCCATTTGTATTTTCAGTGAACAGACTCTCAGGACTCTCTTTGTTCAGATGTGAACTGTGTATGTGTGTGTATATGAAGTCACTTGTATTGGTTTAGAAAAGCAGAAAGTTGTCTGGTTTTATTTTTCTCTGTTTTTGTGAACCTGTTCATTCTTGATTCTTCCCTTAATGTTTACAGTCTGCCAAAATACTGAAATAACTTACAGTCTGGTATTTCAGTATTTTATTCCAGTCACAGAATAACACATCCATAAACCATCTGAGAATGTAAACAGTGTACTTGCTACAAGACGCAGGATCATAAAAAGATGTGTGTGTCAGACCTTGCATTCGACAGCCATAGTGTACAATTCATTACCTTCTTCATCCATAGTGGAACATGTGTCACTGTTATGATTGCTGCCCATTTTACCTGTGCCCAGAAAACTGAATGCTGTCCTGAATTTGCATGGTGTTTGACTGTATGGTGTCCTCTCAGTAATTCCACTTAAGTCCCCATCTATATGTCCATATCACCTGGAGAAAAACCAAAACAAATTTAGGTCCTTTTGCTCATTCCAGTCTACTCTGTGTTTCAGAACGGTGGTCAAATGCAACATTGCCAAGTCTCAGGCATTGTACAGCGCCCAGCGAGGACTGAAGACCAACAACGCAGCCGTCTTCAAAGTGGGGGCCATCATGATCAACATTCCCCAGCACCCGGCTACTTTGCACAGCATGATGGTCCGCAGCTCCCACCAGCTCTCCAAACAAATCTCTGACCTCATCCGCCAGCCCTCCAATGTGTATGTCTACTTCATTGATCCATCTTTGAAAGACCCTCTCCAGTGAAAATCCATTCTTAACTTGTCATCATATCGATATGTTTTTTCTATGTGCTACATGCATGTCATGAGTGAAATAACCAGTCAGCGCCTTCGCTGAGCATTTTTGCCTTGAAACTGTGTACCAAAGTGTACCAATTAGGCCTGGTTATTGTTTTAAAAACTACAATACCACTACAAATACCTGTACCCTTAAAGTAATACTAATACCAATGGAGCACTTTATTCAACACCCATGACGTAATACAGCGGTGTGTGGTATAGCCATATTTTCAAATGTTTAGTGGCGTCTCAGCATGCTGAGCTGCCAACTCCGTCAAATACACAGCTTACCTGTGCTTGGTGTGAGTTTGCTGAGGCTGTTTAAAGGTTCTGTGTTGTATGTGTTAGCTGCTATGTAAGCTCGTGCTAACCAAGCAGACATTAACCTGAACATTTGTCGGCGTGATAGCGGTTCCAGATATGGCAGCAACAGAAAGTTTGCAAGTCCAATGGGGAAATGGAATGGTCCAGGATCAGACTCCTGGCCCAAAAAGGATGGAATGCTAGTATCATTTGACTGGAGACATTTCAGTATTAATTGGTACTGTTTTATTTCAGTCGATAACTTATGTGTCCTAACTGGATGTGATGTTAGCTAGCACTAGCGTCTAAATCAGTTTGATTGCATTGTTTTCTATTGGACCTTCGTAACTGCCTATAAGCAATGTAGCGCGACACAGCGCAAAACTGAGTGCTGTTTTGAGAGCAACTTTTGCCAGACACCCTGTTTTTATTTATTTCTGTCACTCATGTTGAAAGCGCCGCAACGGACAAGGAATGACTGATTCACAAGGTTGGAATCAGGAGTTATCTATATGATACCTCCTTATTTCACAACAAAAACCTAAATAAGCTGGCGTCTGACTGGAAGGAGATCTCTAGGGAGCTGAACGTTTTTACAAAGAATTGTTGTTTGGTATGTGCAGCAGAGCTTGCCAGCAAGTTTGCTTGTTTTACAAAGTGGAGATGGCTGTATGATATAGTATGGTATTTTCAACAATATCTGTAAGTCACCTGTGATATTATTGATGTGAATATGAATAATGAGGAAGTACGTACTCACCCATCTTGTCAGCGGTTACACTGAGACCACAGCTGCTAGGTAAGTTAGTTGTTTACATGAGGTGACAAAGTTCCATATGTAAGGAATCCAGGGTGGACAGAGAGTGTCTGATGTTTCACGTCAGAGGCTCACTTGCTGATAGGACATGGTGTTAAAGGTATGGAATATCAATACCCAGCTCTAGTGACAATGACAGCCTCAAAAATACTGATTCTGACTTCCAGGGTTTGTTACGTCACAACCTCAAGGAACCAGTCCCGTCAACAACCAGCTTTTAAAGAACTGGCCGTGCAAGGAAGGTTTATCTAATATTAGCAACGCATTAGTAACTGTTTGATACTGAAGTCATGCAGAGGGCTTATGTTATCTATTACTGTTTACAAGCAGAGGTTTGTGTGTTTGATTAACAGAGTCAAAGGTGAGCAGGTACGCTCAACTGCAGGCCAGTGGCTGAGGGTTGGGGCTCATTTGCGTATTCATAGATCTACACACACTAAAGGAGGGATAGGTGTAAAGTCAGGTCTAAGCCATTTTAAGGCATGACAGTTCCATGGGGAAAAAATCCTTATTATGCAGTTTTGACGAAGAGAAATCTCTTTTTAAGAACTTCAAACCTCATTTATAGCATTTAAAACCAATTAAAAAACTGACTCTGAAGTGTTGCAGACTTTTAACTATATTTAAAACCCTAAATGAATCTGTTATGCAACACACTGTTGTCATTAGATCGTAATCCACACTTAATAAACTCCTCATCTCCATAAGTGACAGCTCACTGCAGCATATCCACACTGTCCCCATTTAACTGCTTTCAAAGCCTGTCTGTGGTCTGTTTCCATGGTAATACTCTGAATTATGTTATGGAGTTGTAGGTGTGCTTAGGATATTAAACAACTTTTCTATAATTTGATGTTCACGGAAATATTGGCCAGTGTCTGCATAACTCTACATAATAACACACACATAATTGAATCAAATTTAAAGTAGCAATCTTTCAGTTTGTACTTTACTTCCAGCAGTTTAGCCCATATGTTCTGGGAGTGATATAATGACAAAACTGAAGCAATTCATTCCAAGTTTAGAGCACCACCTTCACTTATTCAGAGTCAACACCTTTGTAGATAATGACTGATTGAGTGGGTGAATGTTTTCTTTCTCCCCTTACAGTCAACCTCCTAATAGAGAGGACACGCCTACCCCGCAGCCTTCTGACAAAGCATCCAGCATCAATCAGACCCCCGTTGAAGCCAACGAGTTCCCTCAGCTCCCCGAAGGCCTTGAGAAGAAGCCCATTGTCCTCAAGTTTAGCGCCATGATGGATGGCATCACCATCGGGGCTGCCCTGCTGCCCTCACTGAAAGCAGAGTACAAAATGGGTCCCATGAAGAGCCATGGCATGACAGGTGTGTGTGAGAGGAGATCTGACACTGATTTCAGTGATGGTGTAAACTAACAGAGCTTTTTCTTCTGAAACATTATATGTCCAATTCTACTGTTCTCATCTGATGTTTCGTTCTTAAAACTGAATTTTAAAAAAACATTACCCTGTCTTAATATCAATGTTGAGGTATGTCCAAGCCCTGCAAAATAATAAGTTGTGATGATAACTCCTTTTTTTTTTTTTTTTTTTTTTTTTTTTTTTTTTTTTTTTTTTTTTTTTTGTTTCTTTTAACACCTCTCCTGTGTTTAGGTGCACAAACCAGTTTCACTTTCGAGTTGCCAAACCACAAGCTTTGCTTCCAGTCAAAAGTGTCCCCAGTGGACATGTCCACCATGCCACCATCAGCCAGCCTCACCCTGCCTCCAGTCACCATGTCAGGAGAGTACATCATGGAAGAACACGAGAGCCACTCAGACCAGGGCTGGGCGCCCGACGACTTCCCAGCAAAGCAAGGAAACTACCTCCAAGGCAACTACCTGCGCTGTGTCGCCGAGGTCAGAGGCTCCTGATGGGGCGTTACGTTTATGTCAGAGCACTGAATAAAAGCAAATTTTCTGGAGCAGCCTATGGCGATTTTAACTTCCCCTCACTTGTCTTCTGTGATGTGCAGATTGGTTCATTTGAGCACAACCTGACCACAGACCTGCTCAACCACCTGGTCTTCCTGCAAAAGGTTTTCATGAAGGAGGTCAACGAGGTTATTCAGAAGGTTTCAGGTACTGTACTAAAGACTAACACACACTTCTGTATCTGTAAAACCTGTACAAAACGGTGTCCTTTTCTTTGCTGTATTGGCCCAATTTTGCTCTCAGATCAATAAAGTTAATCTAATCTTAAACATCTGACTGTTCCCAACAGAATTCTGTAGCCAACAGCTGCTGCTTAAGTCAACAAAAAATATTGTTTTCATCACAAAACAATGCCCAAGGCCCTGACACAAATCCAGTCATGTTCATTTTCCACAACAGTATTGATAGTAATTTGTTGAACTTGCTTAGTTTGATCGATGTAATTGCCCAAGAGAGAGAAAGAGAAGTGGGAGTTTTATGGTAAAGAATAATGAGAATGGTGTAAGGTAACTTTTCTCATTAGGGAGGAGTCTTTAAATGTAGTTGCACTGGGACACTTCAAGCAGATATAAGAACTCACACATACAGAGGTATCACACGTTATCTAGCACTTCACAACAGTCTGTGGATTTGTGAGGTTGACTTGTATACTCTCTATACACACAGGAGGAGAACAACCCATCCCACTGTGGAATGAGCATGACACCTCAACAGATGCAGACAAGCCAAAAATCCTGTTGTATTCTCTCAGCCTCATGTTCAAGGTATCTCATCTTCAGTTTCTTTCAGCACACAAATTCAAAGTAGCTCTTCAGTCCCAGGGGCTGAAGCAACCAGGTGAAGATTTTTGTCCAAACTTTGCATTGCTTTAAATAATAAAACCAGTAAAGGGTTTCTCCCAAGAGATTTTTCTTTCACTTTGAGTGTTGGTTAAGGTTTGAGGAATTTCCTGAATGCCGTTTTCTTGTTTGCAGGGAATCCAGATGACCGCCACCACTCCTTCCATGCGAGCTGTGCGCTTTGAGACAGGCCTTATCGAGCTGGAGCTGTCCAACAGGATCCAGTGCAAGGCTCAGCCGGGTGGCAGCAGCAGTTACCTTAAACTGTTTGGCAAATGTCAAGTAGATCTCAACTTGGCTCTTGGACAGATAGTCAAACACCAGGTACAGATCAGCTTCATTATAGTGAAATAAAAGCTGTCAGGTGTAAAGGTCCAACTTTTTGTTGTATTTGCTCAAACTTTCGCTATATCTTGATAGTAGTACATGAGACAGATAACCTGTGAGAAAATCGTGTTCCTCTGGCTCCTCCTAGCATTTCTAATGGCATATGCATAATCCACACCACCATGCCTGAATAAAAACAACCGGTGAGGGGCATAGGCTATCCCCCCACTCCCTTTTGAAAAAGCATGCTCAAATAACATGCATGTCGCCAGCAATCATTTAGTGTCCTTGTTATATGGTGGCTGATCTCGTCCAGAGGGTAGCTCCCGCACCTCATTATTTTCCCAATTTGCGAACATTTTTTGCAGCTGTTCTTTTTTGAGTTAGCTGCTAACTGCTACCAGCAACATTTTAAACCTCATGCATTGGGTCGCACATATAACACGTCGTCAAAACCTCACATCTGTGCCGCCCATGACTCCGTCCTACCGGCTGTCATTTTTATACTTGTATCATTTTGGCGCCATTACTACCCCCGATGCCGGCTTAAAGGCAACTCAAAGACAACCTTGCCCCGCCATTTGGGGATTGTAGCTTTGAAACAGAACGGTGAGATGGAATTATCTCAGGAAACTTTTAATATAGAGCAGGTCTAGACTGCATTCTAGACTAGAATGAGTAAAACTGAGCCTTCATCGGTTTTTGAACCCTTTAGGTCCCATAGCTTGCTCCACCTCACAAAAGCCGCTCAGATGTTTCATTCTTATTTTAGATCAAGCTTGATTTAACTTTTACTTTTCAGCTGGTTCTCTTTGCTGGTATTTTTGGTAGTCTTGCAAATGCCATTAGAAACACTAGCAGGAGCCAAAAGAACCAGATCCGTTTCATAGAGTATCTGTCTCGTGTACTACTGCCAGTATAAAGCCAAATATAGCAAATATAATAGTTACTTTTATAAAAAAATCACAGACTACCACTAGTTGAAGTCTAGAATTGGCTTGAAGATTAGTACCTCTCACAATAAAATACAAAATACAATCAGAGTTGCTTCGCTTGTGCTTGATTATAATAGATTCCTATCTGATGCTCTTTCTCCCTTCACTTTATAGGTGTATGAAGAAGCTGGCTCAGACTTCCACCAGGTTGCGTACTTCCGAACTCGGATCGGCCTGCGGAATGCTCTGCAGGAGGAGATCAGTGGCTCCTCAGACAAGGAAGCCGTCCTCATCACACTCAACAGGCCAATCGTTTTCGCCCAGCCAGTGGCCTTTGACAGAGGTTCAGTTTTTCTTTTTGTCTACATCACATTAAACGTCAAAGTTTGTTTTGTGTAGGGCTGCAGCCATCGACCATTTTCACTATCGATTAATCTGCCCCATATTTTCTCATTAAGCAATTGGTCGTTTTGTCAATGAAATGTCAGAAAATAGTGATACATGCCCTGTGTAACTTCCCAGAGTCCAAGGTGATGTCTTCAGATGGTATGTTTTATCCGACCACCTGTCCAAAATCCAACGCTAGTCAGTTTATTATCATGTATGACAAAGAAAAGCATCAAATTCTCGCATTTAAGAAGCAAAAAAAAACAGCAAATATTTGGCTATTTTTGCTTTAAGAATTACTAAAACAATTATTAGATGATCAAAATAGTTGGCAATTGATTTTTTGTCAATTGACTAATGGATAAATCGACATAACTACAAAACTTGTAGTGGTTAGTTATTTTTAGATATTCTCCCTGCTCAACCATGATTATGAAGGAAGGATGGCTCAGTGATAGAACTGCATCTGATTTTCACACACAACAAAAATCAACCACTGATGTCTCTAAAATGAAATTCAGGACGTAATTTTAAGGTCTTTCTTTCCACCTGTGTGCCCTCCTGCAGCTGTACTTTTCTGGCTGAATTACAAGGCAGCGTACGACAACTGGAACGAGCAGCGCCTGGCCCTTAACAAGGACATCCACGTGGCAACTAAAGAGGTGGTGGAGAAGCTGCCAGGCATCCAGCAGACCTCCGCCCAGGCCTTCAGCACCCTCTTCCTGCAACTGACCGTCAACGACCTGGGCATCTGCCTACCCATCACCAACACATCCCAGGTAATCTGCTGCACTTAGTTTGGATCTCACAAAATCAATGTTGTAAAATGTTTACATTTTAACTTGTTGATGTCTAAATTTATACATCATAGTTGCTGATTATATAAACAATAGCAGGTTTGCGCTCTGTTGACTTCAAGGTCATTCAGTTAGTTCACATTTACATATATATTTTCATGTTTAATGCAGATGATGTAATCAACTCTCACACGTTGTAGCATCTTTGATTGGCATTAGAGAACCATGGATACATTTTAGCAGTTTCACTATTATATGTAGAGACCATGATATCCAGATGTGTTTTATGTTGTTTATGAGCTCTTAGTGGGCAGACTGTCCATTAATCTGCCTTTCCACACACCCACACACACAGGGACATTGCTCAAAACAACCTTTATAATGCACACTTTTAATGCAAAACAAACAATTGCGGATTTGATACACAACCTTAACACAGATACATGCTGGCTGGTCAGTATTTAAGTGGAAATACAAATGTGCAGCAATTACGAATTTTACTATATCATAGAGATAGTTATATGTTTTTAAGAGGATCATAGTAGTGATGTGTTTATTTTTTTATTTTTATTTTTTTTAATTATTTTTTTTTATTTTGTCTAGGGATGTCACTTTCTGTTAATTTGCTTTAGACCGCCTGACACCCATAAGGCAGTAACTTATGAGTTAATTTTAAAAAAAGATTGGAAAAATGAAAAATGCTTTTAGTCCAGTGCTCCATTGACTTAGTGAGCTTTAGTTCAGAGCGATATGTATTTAGTGGTGGTTACATTTTAATGTTTTTTTGTTTTTTGTTTTTTTCTTTTAATGATTTTCTGTTGGCATTGATAACAGACAGCAGGCAAGCTACAATATCATGCAGAAACATGGTACTTCCTGCCCATCCTTCAGTCTCCACTGGTTAGCTAGCGGCGCCACTCATTTTGCGATTACTGCTGTTAGCGCTGGTTGCTGCAGAAACATGGTAGCCTCCCCCCAGGTCACCTCAGTGAGTAAGCAGCTTAATTTTGAGCAGTTAAACCCACCTAGCATTGTTTACTATGTTATCACCACCACCAGTGCTGTTGCTGCTAATGGTGCTAACATAGCTAACAGTGCTAACATAGTTAACAATGCAAAAGAGGTTTTAGAGCTCAAAATTAAGCTGCTTATTCACTGGGGCCACCTGGGAAAGAACGGAGGGTGAGCACCATGTTTCTGCAGCAACACCACCATGAGTTTGGACGGGGTTACTTGTAGTAATTGCCAAATGAGCCGTGGCACTAAGGTACTCTAGCTTCCACCTCACCTGTGTTGTGCATAGTCCAGTGCTGCGGCAGCAGCTAGCTATCCAGTGTAGCATGAATATCTTACAGCTTGGTTGTGGTATGACATAGAGCTAGTGCTACTACTGAGCTGAGGAGGAACACAATTAACCTGTAGACCAACATGCATAACTGGTTAAAAATATTCCCTGCGGTTGACATCCCTAATTTTGTCCACAAAAAACAATTTTGTATGATGTTAAATCATCCAAGACAGGTGCACCAGTAGTTAGCAATGTGGATGTTATGCACTGTGTGCTATTTAAGTTCATCAGACTTTGGTGGACTGTTTCCAATGCAGAAAGTTTTGCCAAATAATTTAATGTTATTATTTATAAAATGTTTTTTATGTCTGTTTTTATTTATGTGTATGTTTTTTGGATAAAAGATTCACATGAGCACACACAAATAGAAATATTTAGAGGAAACACTGGATATCAATGAATGGTCCGTATCAGTTGTTTTGTTATACTGCAGTACTGTGCTGTATTACAGTATGTCCTTGGAGACGAGATATACCAGCTGTCATGTCACACTTATTTCCATAGAGAGGACAAGTACCAGTTACGGAGGGCATCCACTCTGAAGCTGGGGCCAGCACATCAGTAGGCCGGCATAAAAATGCACGAAAAGTAACCTACAATTTATTACATCTCTTGTGATGGCTTGTTGTGGAACAATGACTTACTGTGATCAATACTCTTCCATGCCACAAGTACACTGCATCACAAGTGCTTGTTTGTTTAAAAACTGGCAGGTCACACCACTTTGTAACAATGAAATTCCCCTCACAAAGCTGGCATAACAACTAATGAAGCTTGAGCTCGTGTCTGAGGTGTTTGGGCTGTGTAATTACTTCATACTAAAGAGAGGTTATGCCAGTTGGTGTCCAGAGTATCCCTTATCTGTTGCTAAAATGGAAACAAGGAAATTGTTGAGGCTAATCTTTTAGAGACTGCCATGGAATTGTATACAATTTCACACACAAAAGCAGATCTAATGACACAGTGCAGTGGTGCACATGGCAGGCTCTGTCTATTGTAAGAGAAAGCAATTGGAATTTACCTGGATTTCTGCAGTAATCATCCTGAAACTGGTCTGATTCTGATCCACGTCATAAAAATAGATAATGGGTTAGTTAGGAGGTAAACAGGCTTTTACCTGCCTCCACTTATGACTGGAATGATGATCAGACCCCTATTTTTGTGCCAATGTAGCGTTAATCCAGAAATTCAGGTAATATGGGCAATTTTACCCCCAATCCTGCAATTAAACACAGTCTAACAAACTGAACAGCTTGGTAACATTTCACTCATTGGTGTATTCACAGCAACAGTACTTAATAATGTTCTGTATTTTGCAGCTGAAGTAATTAAGCAGTTTTGCAAAATTATAATGTCATGATCAGAAGTCATGTGCCAAAGTATTATTTATTCAAAATCACATGAAAATAACCACATTGATCCTGATTTTATTGAACTGACAAAGTGGATATACAGTACAGTAGAATGAAATGTTACCAGCTAACTCTGCCTTTTCCAAACACATGGAAGTGGGGCTTTTTTTCCTTGCACTTCACCCTCATGTAGAGGCACAAGTAACCCCTCTCCCTGCCCCTCTGCCAGGCCAACCACAGCATAGATTTTGACACCGGCTCAGCTATGGTCCTGACCATTGAGAGCACACTGATCACCGCCTGCTCCTCAGAGTCCCTTGTAAGCAAAGGCCACTTCAAGAATTTCTGCATCCGCTTTGCTGAGGGCTTCGAGACCTCCTGGGACGACTGGAAGCCTGAAATCCGAGGGGATATGGTCATGAATGCTTGTGAGTGCTGCATTATATTTAAGTTTCAATTTTTGTCTCACATATGCTCCATTTAGATTACGTTTTATCACCTTTAATGAATGTCAAAAGCATTGATTTAGTAAAGAAAGAAAAGTATTCAAAACTTAACACAAATACTTGATAAAAAGATAAATTGAGTCTCTTTTCAGAGATGCTAAACAAACATAAAATACAGATTTTATACGTACATACATACACACACATACATTTTTTTACTAGGCATGTGCTTACTGACCTGACCTGACTTAAGTAGGTAGAAATCGAATTCTGATGTGATTTTCCATGCATGCAGATCCTCTGAAATATGCGTGTTGCCTGTGTGTCTGTGTGTGGTCTGTATACAGGTGTAGTCCCTGATGGTACATATGAAGTATGCTCCAGGACTACAGGGCAACCCTCTGCAGGCAGGTTCTTTTAACCAAGATCTGGTCCATGAAATATGTATCACACCCTAGAGCTGCACAATAAGCATGAGACAACTGTCTAAAAATTTTATTTTGCATTCATTTCATCCTCATCCTCTCCCGCTCTTTATGTCCTCTCCCTCCTGGCTTCCTCCTCTCTCAAAAAAACAGAGAGCAGCAGTGCCGGTACCTGGACCCTGAATGTGCTGTGGAAAATGTGTGGTATCGATGTTCACATGGATCCCAACATCGGTAAGCGCCTTAACGCCCTGGGTAACACGCTGACGTCACTGACGGGCGAGGAGGACGTAGACGACATCGCTGACCTGAACTCCGTCAACATGGCGGACCTTTCAGATGAGGACGAAGCCGACTCCATGTCACCCACCATCCACATGGTCAGTCAATGATGGGTTCTTGTATATTATGGCTTTCTTTTTGGCCCATTGTAAAAATGATACATAGTTTCCACCACAGCCAGATTTAGCCAATTATTTTGTCATTTGAATATCACTTTCGAATAAGTTGTGATGACACATTGTAACATTAAAGGGTAACTTTAGTATTTTTCAACCTGGACCCTATTTTCCCATGCTTTTAAGTCTAAGTGACCAATGGGAACAGCATGTTTTGAAATTGGTCCAGTATTGAGCGAGAGGGCTGCAGCTGGCAGCTGCAAAACAGGCAGCTATGTGAGCACTCAATGCAATTATGTACCGTCAATGTACGTCCTTCAAATAGTGTTTGTTTTTGCCACCAACAGGCTCAGATTGTTGTTTCAAGTGTCTGACAGTATTATGGAAAGGATCCCTACAGATGTCAAGCTTTTTGTTAAAGAGTAAGATCCTTTTTGTTTAACCAGAAACAGCCCCAAAATTGTATACGCTAAACCCACCAGACTATTTAAATAAAGAGTAATTTTAGCATGTATGGAGCCAGTATATTTGCGTATCTAACTGGGTGAAGTAAGGGTTTGTTTACACTAAACCAGAGTCTATGATTGTAGGTTTTTGTTGTAGTTTTATTTTGTTTCAGTTGACCTTGAATTAAATGCGTTTTATCATGATAAAATTGCTTTTTATTCAATGGAATTTAGAGGGTTTAGCAATAATGATTTTGGGGCTGTGTCTGGTCAGACAAAAAGGGACTTAATCTTTAGTAAAAGATCTGTCTCTGGCAGGATCCTTTCCATAATGTTGTCAGACACTTAGAATAACAATCTGAGCCCGTCAGTGGCAATAACAAGCACTTTTAGTGGATGTTAATTAACGGTGCATAATTGCTGCTCTGCAATTATGTTTCAAAATTGTTATGTCACTGCAGCCTTTTTACACTGCGAGCTGCAGCCAACTTGCTCAATACTGGACCAGTTTTTTTAAAAAATGTTCCCATAAGTCACTTGCACACTAAAAAATGGGAAACTCTTACCCTTGAAGAAAATATGCTGTCAACTGTAGATCAGATATTCTGGTTGGTAACTCCAATTAGGAAGTTTTCAGAAGAAAAATCAATTTCTTTAGATGTGGAGGTTATAAAAGAACAATGCAGACTATGAATAATACACTTTAGGTGTACTACTAGTGGTTGTCTAACTCAAAGGAAAAGTTTAACATACTGGGAAATGTGCTTATTTGCTTTTTCTTGCTAAAAGTAAGATGGGAAGATCCATCTCAGTCTCATATATTTCTGTTAGATTTAAGGCTGCAATAAGATACGTGATTGCTGAGCTTCGCATAAAGGCTGGAAACAGCTAGAAGCTAGCCTGGCTCGGTCGGCCAGGCCACACCAAGCCAGTATCCAGTTGTCGGTGAGAATCTGTCACCTTAGTTTTTGCAGTGTGTCCCGTACCGTGCCTTGTTGGACGTTGTTCAACTGATTTAGCACGTTGAAACGGAGCCATCAGAGCCCATCAGTGAGTGAAATCCCTCTGATTGACAGTTCAGGTCAGTGTACAAAAACAAGTAAAAGTGAAACAGAAGTAAGGAGGCTTCGAAAGCTAGGGTATTGAGTTAGGTTGAAGAGAACAGCACGTAAAGTCATCTGTTTATTTAATTATGTATCACTACAAATACATGTCATGTGCTATAAGTAGCAGGTTATCACACAGTAAGAAAAATAAATCATGTATTGAAATCAAAAATGTTGATGCATTGATAACCATTTTATCTGAATTGTTATCGAATCCTGAGATGCCTGGGGATTCCCATCTCAAGGCATCGGCCATTGAAAAACCCTATATCAGTTGACCACTGTTGCACAGATTAAACAGGAAAGGTATAATGTGTTAGTTTTTAAGATATAGAGGTGCTGAGAGGCAGTTTTCATTACCTTTGGACAGATCTTATGCTAAGCTAACTGGCTGCCAAGTGTAGCTTCATTTTCAGAAGACAGACATGAGATTTGTATCCATCTTCTTACCTAACTCTGGGCAAGAAAATAAATAAGCATGTTTCCCAAATTATCAAAGTCTTACTTTAAAATCTCTTCAATACATTTAAAGAATTCCTACCTGGCTTACCTTAAAGCCTCAGAAGGTAAAGTCTGACCCCAGTCGTCCATTCTTCCACCTCTCCATCCATGTGTCCCTGCCGTTGTCCACAGAGTCCAGGGAGCCAGTTCAGCCCTCGGCTGACCTTAAGGAAGCGTCTGGTAAACCACATCCTGGGCCTCAGCCCCAGGCCTCAGAGTGTGTCTGTCCCAGCTGACGACTTAAACTGTGCATCGCCTCGCCTTCGAGCGGGCAGTGCCAGAGCCCAAAGACCCCTCTCCTGGGCCTGTGTATGTAGCCACCCATAGTGTTTAATTCTTCTCCGGGCTGACAAAATCACTGGCAAAGGTGTCATCTCAGTCACCTGCAGTTATCAGATGGAGGTTGCAAATTCCAAAATGCTGAGCAATGCTGTTTTGTGCTTTAACTAAATAGCATGGTACTGGAGAATAGTGTCGCTTAGCATTTGCTTTCACTGCTCTCCTCATTAAACTTCAATGATGGGTGAAAAGAAATAAATTAGTGTTACACAATTCCCTGTGGCAATACAGCTTTGTTTTCCCAACCTGTGCTTTGAGTGGAGCGGTGATGGTGGTGATGGTGTTGGTGTCTCCTGTTTTGTGATAATTCTGTTTTATGAAACTTGGTGTGTGGATTGGACTACATATAACGTTTTGTGATCGAATCATTCCAGTCAAAATAATTCACCTTTAATCTTACAGATTTGGGAAGGATGCATTCTTATTTACAGCAGCTGTTACTGGGATTTGATCAGATTTGATTTTGTTTCATTTTGTCAACAGTCTAACCAGATAAATGTGCTCTGGTGTGTATCATTGCTTTGACCCAACAGGAGACCATTGACCTCAGAAGGCAGATGGCGATGGGGAACCAAGTAATTGACGCTCGTGGGAGGAAGTTCACCAAGAGGGTGGTGGACATCAGAGAGCTGAACGAACAGGCCAAGGTCATCGATGACCTCAAGTAAGATTACTGCTGACTCACTTGTTGATTCTGATTCTCTATGAAGAAATGTCTTGCATTTCATTGCTGTTTTGTTAAAGAGATCTGTCCATGACAGCTGTACAGGGGGTGAATATTTATATAACTCACCTGTTTACATTTAATTAATGCTTAAAGTTATGCATACCTAAAGGTGAGGGCACTTTGAGTGGCCTGGTGGGGGCCATCCTTCGACAAGTCTATAGGCCCAGCCGCAGCAGTTGCTATTTCAGTGTGTTTTCAGTTCATGTAAGTTAATTGTACAGTTTTGGTTGCCTATAAAAGTCTTGTTCAGCTTTTGTTGTGCTAAAAGACCCTCCAAGGCAGGGGTGGCCAAACTACAGCTTGTGGGCAAACTGCAGCCCATTGTCCATTTTTAAATGGGCTGCGATGAATTTTTAAATTAAGCTAGACTATGGCTTTAGCATATCTCTAATAAATTGTGCTGTATATACATCGCACAACCTAGTTTAAACATGATGTCACTGTCATCTTTACCAACAAATGCCAGCAAGCCCTGCCATCGCACTTCTGGTCTGAACATTTGATGTCGCTACTTTACCTACAATGATTGATTACTAGTCAATAAAAACATTTACCTCAGTAAACATGGCAGTGGACCTGAATAAAGATGAAAGATGAAGAAATATTTTTTTTGAATTAAGTGGACACACTGATAAAAAGACATCTGTAAAACTGTCGGCAGAACGCTTCAAACTGCAAAGAAGGTCAATTATGACTCTTTCTTTAAGGATTTTTTTGATCAGTTGAGGATTTCCTCAAGCTGAGAAAAGCTTCTTTTTTTTTTTTTTTTTTTTTTTTTTTTTTTTTTTTTTTAATCTGTGACATCATCACATTGTAAAATCTAGAGGCCGAGCAGGAACTTGCTCCTGGTGCTAATGGCATATGCACCAGGCGAGCAGTTTCATTGGACTAAATAGGCACCATTTTGGGGTCCGTTATCCAGATCTAATAATACATCCAGGGATTAGCAACACACTCTCACCCAAATACATACTTTTGGTGCCAAAACGGCACATGGCGACAGTCAAAATGCCAATACCGTGATGTCACTCACTGATTTGTGGACTCCCGTTTTGTACAGCCTGTATTTAAAACTATCTACATCTTCTTTTCTTAACCACAGGAAATTGGGGGCCAGTGAGGGCACCATCAACCAGGAGATCCAGCGCTATCAGCAGCTGGAGTCTGTGGCTGTCAACGACATCAGGAGAGACGTCAGAAAGAAACTACGTCGCTCCAGCATGAGGGTCAGTACTCATTAATCTACTCCATTTAGCAGTGTGTTCACCAAATAAAGTAGACATTGTGGGTTAAAACGTAACCTGAAACCATTTAATACCTTTATGTCTCTTATTCCAATTTATAGAAAACCCTTTTCTCACTAAGTGTTTGTTCCTCTCTAGGCGGCCTCTCTGAAGGATAAGTGGGGTCTTGGCTACAAACCAAGCTACAATCGCTCCAAAAGCATCTCAGCGGCAGCAGGCCGACCGCCTCTGAAAAGGATGGACAGACAGAGGTATAAACTGAGGGCAAGAGACGCCACTTTGCCTGATATCATATTATTATGGAAATAACACTGTTAATGGTGCTTCATCCAGCATTTACTGTAAACAAACAAGACCACATAACCTCTGCCTCACACCACTGCTGTTGGTGCTACTTGTTTTTGAAACACATTTCCCATTAATCTTCTTAAAAAGAGGATGCACTGACTCACACATTAGAATGTAGCGTAGAGGCGAGGGAGAGCTTATCTCATTTGTTTATAATAATTATGCAGATATCTCAGAATTAATGTAGTAATTAATGTAGTAATGATGGTAAAACAGTTGACACGTTGTAAGACCCTCAGAAAAGAACAAAAACATTAACTCTGGGGCACAATTAATGAGTAAAAATAACTGGAAATGAATCAGATGAGGAACAATTTGTGCTTTGATTTTTGGTTACAGTATTTTCTACAAGCAGAGGTGTGGACTGGAGTCTCATGACTTAGACCCGAGTCAGACTCGAGTCACAAATTAGATTATTTAAGACTTGATTTGACAGAATCATTAAAGACTTTTACTTTTACTTTCTACTTGGACTTTAACACCAGTGACTCGTGACTTCAGTTGGACTGGAGCCTTTAGATTTAAAAATACTTGATACCCAAGTAACGTTTACACTACTCATTCCCAGCAGGTTGACAGTTAATTCCCCAGATTATCCACTTTCTTTGAACCAGTCCAACAGCATCCAATCAAGCTGGAGGAGTAAACCATGAAGTTCTAACATTACATTGCTGAGTGGCAGTTGACAAACATGACACCAAACCAAACATAAATTTGTTTGCATACAAAAACTATGGGAATTGCATTATGTAAAGCCTGCAGGTTGAATGTCACAGATGGAGGCTAGGTTTAGGCGATATTGAAATTACCCAGCCAAAGATATTGCTTTAAGAAAAACAATGAAATTCAAAATTATCATCCAAAGAAAAAAAAAACTGAAGAGACAGACACACATAGATATGAAAATCTATGGACTGAAGACACATATGTTACAATACCCACATTCTCGGAACCCATCGGCTGTATTCAGCGTCTGACTTCCGGCAGACGCCGAATACAGCCTCTGGGGGCAGACCCCCCATTTTTTGGCATTCTGGTTTGATTTGGGCGGAGGAGGCTAATTTCTGTTTCCGACTTCCGTTTATATATAAGTAAATACGCTGAACCATTGCGAAAGATTCAGAGTTTGCAGTGACGCCAATTATGTTCCGCCTCATTAGTTCACCGCACAGACCGTTTAACCTGGCAACAACTGCAGCTGGCTCAAATGTGATTGGTCAATATCACGCGGACTACAAACAGCCTACAACCAGAAACCAAGGTTCTTCCGCTCTTCTTCCGGAGGCAAGATCTCCGGGGTTTGCCTACAGACTCTACATACACTGAATGTAGAGTCTGTATGTAGAGACTACAATACCCATAAATGGTCACAATGTGTAGGCAGTATACGCTATTTTACACAAGGGCATGTTGAGATCAATAACTCAGATCAATCAACAGGTGACATTATTTGTATTCAGTTACATGTTTAACTGCACTTGTACAGTCCTGCCACAGTTGACTATAGGATTTATATGTTGTTGCCTTTAAGAGAGCCATGATAATTGAGGGCCGACTGCTCACTGTGGTAGGGGTTTTTGTCCTTCTTCTTCGTGGATGGAGTCGGTGACAGACCTAGGATGGGAGCGGAAACTTTTGGTGTTTCCATCTTTAGTCTTGACCTGCTTCTCTCACAGCTTATAAATCACTTTGTTCACGTTGAGTGGCTCTCTGTTTGGTTTGAAACCAAAGAAAATCCGGATAAACTCATCGGCATTCTTTTTGCTAACGAGAACAGCCATCTTTTGTAATGGAGGGTTACATGGGTAATTACATACATCGTTAGACATGTGCTAGCATGTTCATACTTTTTTGATGCGTTCCAACAATGCGGTGAAGCATAGAGAAAGCGAAAGAAAAAAAGACGGACTGATTATTGCACAAAATTCATTGCGTAATTGAATATCTTCCTGCTATTGAGGACACGTGAGAACCATTATCGTGGCCTGCCAATATTGTGTTGAGCGATAATCTCGTCACATCACATATGACTTGTTTAGGACTCTTAACTGAAAGCTTAGGACTTGGGACTTGATGCAGGACTTGAGTGCAAAGACTTGAGACTTGCTTGTGATTTGCAAAGCATTGACTTGGTGTTACCTCTGTGTTAAACCAACACTAAGGTAGTGTATATTGTACCAGTGTTACTATCTTTAATATATGTATGCATCTAATGCAGTTTACTGTGTCCATAGTTCCAGGATAGGGGATGTGGATGATCTACCAGACATGCGTGTGGATGCCTCCTCTCCTGGGCCCCGTGTCACCTTCAACATCCAGGACACGGTAAACTGATTTCTAAAAACATTTTGCATGTCTCATATGCTGATTAGACAGAGGAAACTCTAAGACATGAACATATTTAGTACAGATTCAATTGCGCTGTAGCAAGTGCACTCTTGACATATTAATTCTAACCAAATGAGTTACAGAGGCCATGGTGACAGTAGGTATTTTTAGTTTTGTGTTATCTTGTGTTGACTGTTTAAAGATCATTGTCTCATCCTTCATGTCTGTGTTTGTCACTGTAAGTGCTCTCCATACATCACGACATTGACACGACACTGTGACTCATATGTCACATGGTCATGGGTTTTACAGTTTATTTTAAAGGTATCTCAAAGACAAAATTCCATTATGTTCTGAGGATTTTTTTATTTGGATGAGCTCCTTTTTAATGACTCTTCTGTTCAATTGAAGATAAATAATCAGGCCTTGGACGCTGCAAATGCACCTGTCAGTCCAGGAGAGGTATTCAAGGTATACGGCTCAAAGGATTTAATTTGACCAATTAAAATACCTAACCAGAACTAACAGATACTTCTGTTCCCTCTTCTCCTCTGTGATTACCTTGAAAAGTGCTGATAGGAATGAGTATGCAAAATCAAAACAGGATGATGAAATACCAGCTCCTGCTATATAGATATACCCCAGTATTATATTGAGAAAAAAATGTTAATTTGCATGATAACTTACTGTAATCTTGTTCTTTGTGTTCCTTCTTACACGATGATTTATGTGATATAGGTGGCACCAAATTAAAATGTATGCTTTATAGTCTTTACAGTAGATGGTAACCATTGGCATTCCATCAACCGCAGAGATATGTGACATAGTAATTTGTCCCTAATTTTATTTGGTGGACCCAAATGCAAGCACGCTTTCACAAGTTAATTTCCTTGTATAATAACACTCCTCTGTAAATACAAGTTTATAGTTAGAATGCTGCTTTGTAAAGTATGGAGTCACACATTCTCATCCTGTCTTGAAACTGCATAAATAACCAAATCAGCTTGACTTCAACCTTAATACACTGACTGATTTCTAACAGCGATGCATGGTTAGCCTCTGAATCACAGTCTGTCAGCTGCTGTCTGTCACAGCAGTGGTTCCTCTCTAACACCCCACAACAGAGAAACAGAGAAAATACAGATTGTAGACAGACATCAATCCAACTTTAAAGGTCACTGCTGCTTCATATAAAACGGCAATTATTTGGTGGTATTATCATCTGAAAAATGTATCATAAACTAATGAGACAAATTACTGACATTTCACAGGATCTTGCTGTAAAGCCATAAAACTATAACAGCTATTTCGCCAAATCTCGCTTAGTGGCACTAATTGTTTATACTTTACTGATGCTGATGCTCCATACAGCATCTTTAGACAAGTCTAAACAGTCAGTAGACCTACATTTTGGGAAATGCTCTTATTTGCTCTCGTTGAAAGTTGTCTGTCAGTTTGATATAATGTTAAAGCCAGAAGCCAGTTAGCTTAGCATAAAGACTGGAGTCATGGTCAAACTGCTAGCCTGGCTCAGTGTGAAGTAACCAAATCTTCGTTTGAAGCTCACTTATTGACATGATGCAGTTACTTTTTGTGTTGTTGTCATCATGAGGTTGCCAGGCAACCAAATGAGACTGCAGAAGACTCCAACTATTCCTAATTTGTGTCCAAAATCCAGCTAAAGCATCTTAAAGGAACTTTCATTTTTTTGTTTATTTTGTTGGCTGCATTTCCCATGAGCACCATGGCCTTGTGTCGTAAAGATCTTCTCATGGATATTGATTGATTGAAAGAAAGATGTGGCTTATCACTATCTAGCCTCTTGACTTTGTACAAACTACTGTGAATAATCACATAAACCATCTGTTGAGTGAGCGACCAAGATTGACTCATGACTCATGTTTGAATTATAGTAAATAGGATTCGCATTTTACAACAGCAAAACTACATCAAAACATCAATTCACAGCATTCACACAACTCATGCAGTATAATCCAAGTTTCATCTATCCAATCATATGCTCAGTACTTTCCAAACAGACAACCTTTCTGACAGTGAACTGAACTAAAATTGAAATGTATCTATGCTTTTTTCAAAGCCAGGCTCCATTGACAAAAACAGTAACTTTACCTCGCTGAACAAGGAAGCTACTGGTCTACAGCTGCCTCGATCAGCACACAGTGTAACAAACAACCTAACTAATCCAGGCAGCTGTAGACCAGCAGCTCCAGTGTCCAGCAAGTTAAAACTTCCTTTTTTGTTGATAGAGACTGGCTTTTAGGAGAGGATTGATAAGTTTCATTTTCAGGTCAGCATTGACTGTGAAGTGTTTGTTTTTACAAATACAAGGTAACACGGGGTGAGTAGTTGATATACAAATGATCATTTTAGGGGGTGAAGTATTTCTTTAAGGCAACGAGACAGCGTTTGCTTCACTTGACAGTCATTCCGTGGTCATTTGGCCTCAACCACCCACATACTCTCAGTCAGTGAAAATAAATTACAAAAAAAACAAAGAGATTTAAAGGTCAGATTAGTTTCAGATGCAGTAAGCTAACATTTTCAACACTTAAATATCTTCAATAGCATCTGTCAACACCTCTCTGGGATCTTCTGTTACCATTGGCGGAGACTGTGGCTTTTTTTCCCCAGCTGTTGTTAAGGATGGTAGATTTATATACTTGAGACTTTCTTTGACATCTTTCCATTGTCACCCTCTTCAGAGTGTTTTTCACCTTCGGTCCTGTCGGGGTGTCATGTCATGTCCTCATCTTCTTCCTCGTCTCTCTTTCATTCCTCCTCAAAGAAAGTGCATGACCACTCAGCTCCTCTGAGAACATCTTCAGGCTGGTAGTGTTCTGTTATTGGACATGTTAGACAACTAGGCATTTGTATTGTGCTGTGAGATTTGAGTTTAGCATTTAAGTTTAGCCTTAATGTCATAAATGAAGAAAAGAGAATACCTTGTGGTCCAGATAACAGAACATTATCTCCTCTAAAGTTCTGATTCTTTGGGGACCTTCCTACTTGAGGCATCATGTTTTTAAGTAGGAAGAGCTTCATGCTTACTGTCTCCTTGTGTGAGTTTGACTCTTTGTCCGTCTCTAAAGTTTCCTGAGGAGACAGAGGTGGACCTGTTGTCAGTCACCATTGATGAGCCATCCCATCCTCATCATCACCATCATCTTCATTCTCCATCCGTTATGGAGGGCCAGCACTCAGTTTTCAGTACCCCTGGCACCCCTGCTGTCTTCTCACCCACAATTCCCTTCCAGCACGACGACATAAGGCGCGACGACCTGTCCTCTTCCTCCTCCGAAGACTCAGAAAAGGAGGACGAGTTTGAACGGGAGAAGCCGCCAAGCTACCGGAGGCCTTTGTGAGTTGTCTTTTAGTTTTGTTTTGCCTACTCAAGCATTCTTGTGATGAATGTTAGATGAAAGGAAGCTCCATTAATCTCACATTACAATTGCGTGAAAGCTTTTCTTTCATGATTTATTTTTTTGTACTATAAATAAAGCTTTTCAGCATTCACTAAACATTCCCTTTCTTCTTTCTTCTCAGCCAAGCGTCGCACAGGAAGTCCTCAGGGTTTTCTGCTGTGAGTCAGCTGTTCAGCGAGCGCTGGCCTAGCACACCTGCCAACCGCAGCTTCGGTGGCCCAGCAACTGAAAGGAACATTGACTTTGAGCTGGATGTCCGTGTGGAGATTGACAGCGGGAAGTGTGTCCTTCACCCCACCACTCAGCAACAAGAGCATGAGGACATTTCCCTCAGGAGGTACGATGAAAGGCACATTTCTTACTCTGATAAGTACTGCACAGAGAACAGAATTTTATTTCAAGTCTCACTCACTTTTCCTGTTACTTTTGGAATGAAGTCTTGCAAAGAGTCAGATCAAACTCTGCATATTGACATGCACTGGAATGGTTTGCCAGATGAAGTTCTATGCGGTAGCTTAACTTTTTTTTTTTTTTAATGACAGTTTAGTAGTACATTCAGATTTTCACAATTTCGTTACCAGTCTCGTCACTGGGATATCGCAAAAACATCTTGAAGGAATTTCTTCGAATTTGGCACAAACCTCCAGTCGTAGTCAAAGGTCAAGGTCACTGTGACCTTCCGTCTGTCTCAATTTTGTAACTGCAACATCTCAAGAAGGCCTTGAGAGAGTTTCCCAAATTTGGCAAGAACATCTTCTTGGACTCAACAATAAACTGATTAGATTTTGTCTGTCAGAGGTCAAGATCACTATGACCTTACATCAGTCTCATTCTTGTAAACGCAATATCTCAATCCCTTAAATTTGGCACAACCACTTGGACTCAAAGATGAACTGTTTAGAATTTTGTGGTCACTGTGACCGCACAAAACATGTTTTTGGCTGTAAATCAAGAATTTATGACAAACTTTAACAAAAAATGTCTAACAAGATAAAATGATGACATGCAAAGGGTTTAGGGTCAACTTAACTGTGACATCATAATATTCTGTATGAACACTTTTCTGGCCATTATTCACTGCTGCCATGAAATTACTGCCGTCTGAATGGCTGCTGTTTGTGATCAATAACGAGAACTAATTACACTTTGAATGTCACATTCCTAACAGTTTCATTTGTTTAACACGCATAAATATTATTCACGTGGCTTTTTTCCTCCCTGGAAAATTAATGATATTCCAACTGTCAAGTTTAATCAGATCTGTTATTTGGCATTCAGTGACATGCTTTTTTAATGATACAACACAGAATAATAATCAACATTAATAATAAGGGAAGACAATTAGCATTTATTTTAATTGACTGGGGGCGATAAGGAACCTGGATTATGGATGGTGGACGCTAGCCCAAAAAAGGTTTAGAAGCTTGTCCTCAGTGGATACAAGAAGAATCCCACTTTATATAAGACATACAGATAAGTAAACAGAATAAGACATAAGCACCACTTCTTTATATGACTCTGTCGTTCCATGGGTTTTGTAGGAGCTGTGAGCGCAGCCTCAGGAGCCTGGACCAGGAGTCTCCCCCCAAGAAGAAGAAGCTGCAGCCCACCTACACCTCCACAACCCACCTCCTAGCTGGCAAGAAATGTCCCTCCTCCCTGCAGACCAAATCCAACGACATGGAGACCACAGTCTTCTACATTCCAGGAGTAGACGTTAAGGTCAGCTTCTCCCTTAGCATTCAAACTGTCCACAAGTTTCGCTCGTTTTTGTGCTTTAAATGATGACTTTGCCTTTTTCTTTCCCCCAGTTGCACTACAACTCCAAGACACTGAAGACAGAGTCGCCCAACGCCTCACGTGGATCTTCTCTCCCTCGCACTCTCTCCAAAGAGTCGAAGCTGTATGGTATGAAAGATAGCAGCCCTCCCAACCCTCCCAATGCTGTCCAAAGCAAGACTAACTCGCTCCTACCTCCCCCGCCCCCACCTATTCCATCAGGTACTGAGCATTCCCTCATTTTCATTGCATGCCCTAGTACCATCTGTAATCACCGACACTAGAGCGCCACGGCGCTCCGATCTGATGATTTTACATCCACATGTGGACCCACCAAATCAAATGCATGTGATTTCATCCTTTATTTTAAGAATCCAGAGGGCACCTTTGATCAAAATGGGCTCATGCATATTAATGTGTACCACAGAGGGAAGGACACCAGAGACATTTTTTAAAAAGAGTATAGTTTCTAATATGCTTCCAGTTCATTTAAAGTTTAAGAAATGAACTTTCAAAAGTGTTGATAACACATAGTCTGGGCTACAGATGATTTAAACCCCCATGTGTCTTTGCAGCCAAAGGCAAGGGAAGTGGTGGGGTAAAGACGGCCAAGCTGTACGCCTGGGTGGCCCTCCAGACTCTGCCAGAGGAAATGGTCATCAGCCCCTGTCTGCTGGACTTCCTGGAAAAAGCACTGGAGACCATTCCAATCACTCCAGTGGAAAGGAGTTACGCAGGTTTGTTTGCTGCACCATCAGATCTTTGTGGATCCTGTTCTTGGAAAATATTCCTTCCTGCGTGTCTCGCATTCATAGTAAACTGTGTTTATGCCTTTGTGTACCTCCCATCAGCCGTGGCGTCCCAGGAGGAGGACATGGGTCAGTTTGAGACGGTGGAGCAGCTGGAGGAATCCACCACCTCTCTGGTCTCCTCCTCCACATCAGCCTACTCCTCTTTCCCTGTGGATGTGGTCGTCTATGTCAGAGTTCAGGTACTGACAACCTTACCATAATTCTTACAGTTGTTCACTCAAATTCTTATTGTCAAGACAACATGAGATAATAACAGTGAGAGAAAAAACCTCACAATTCCCCATAGTAGCACATTACCCTGAGTGCAGTATTGTAGTTTTTTGCAAAGTGTTTATCATGCAAGTTGACATAGTGATGAGGACTAAAAGAAGAAAACAACATGTGGTGCAGCCCTACATTTAAGCATATTTATTCAATGTCTAGAGTACCTGTTTGTTATCTATCAACCTGTCACCTCATACATTTAGATGTACAGTTACACACCCTACATGGAATTCAGACCAAAACATCAATCATCATTTGTGTTTGCAGCCCTCTCAGATCCGTTTCAGCTGCCTGCCGATGTCCAGGGTGGAGTGTATGCTCAAACTGCCCTCTTTAGACCTGGTCTTCTCCTCTAACCGTGGAGAGCTGGAGACCCCAACAGGAACCCATCCCACTGACGGATCTCACCCTCCCTCCTCCACTCCACCAGGACAGCATATCCCCAAACCCACTCCCAGCAAAGGTATGTAGAGCATATTTTGTGGAATAATGGTGCTCTAATGTGTGCAGAGATATGTGAAGAACAAAACTTTTGCAGTCAAAAGTCTATCAGACATTCTGAGTCTATTTGCCGTCATCCCGTGCCATGTCTGGGCCCTGTGTGATTAATTGTGGCTCGCAGCTTGTTCTCATCCATTCATTATGTTGCTCTCCAGTCTGTCTTTTTGCCAGGTCACGCAATTTCCACCATTGTTTTTTTCTATTAATGTATTAGAGCATGTCAGTTCATATTTTTTCTGTAGTCCAGACATATTTAAAGTATACAGGTTTTTTCTAAAGCAAAAAGAAAAATGGCAAAGTATCAGTTTTATAGTAATATATCAATATGCATGTGATGCATTTACTTCACAGCAGACAATTAACTTGGATCTCTACTCTAATTAGCTTCCTCCTCTCTATTATGGAACTTTGTCATTTGTGTCGAGTACAGGCTGCTGATTGGTTTCGTATTTTAGTTAATGAATGCCTTCTAAATATGACTGCTCGTCTTACTTCCTCTGTGTTTTTCCACCGTCCTCCGCCTCCTTCCAGCATCTCCGTTGCTGGGGAGCCCTCTGGGCAGGAGCCGCCACAGCAGCAGCCAGTCCGACCTCACCGGCCCCCCGAGTAACTCCTCAGGCCTCAGCTTCACTGCCTGCATGTCTGACTTCTCCCTCTACGTCTTCCATCCTTACGGCGCCGGAAAGCAGAAATCTGCTGTCACAGGCCTGCCTCCGGGCCCAGGGCCATTAGGTATGGAAAGGCAAAACTCATAATATTCTAATGTGCTAATAATACAGGGCTGCACTTTCTATTATTACTGCTAATAAGAACTTCTTTCCCTCCTTTACTGTTGATGTGATGTACAAACATGCTAGATCTAGTGGATGTGGGGTTAACCATTATTTCCTGCTTTTTGTGAGTGAGTAGCCACAAAGATTGAAATTAGATTGGCGTGATTGTAATGATTATCGCTCTTTACCCTGAAGGTACCGTAGATGAGGAGCCTTCTTCAGTAACTGGGAGGAAAGACTCTTTGAGTATCAACCTGGAGTTTGTAAAGGTCAGCTTGTCCAGGATGAGGCGGACCGGAGGGCCCACCTTCATCGAAAGCTTCATTCCTGCCAAAGGGGGCAAAATGGACACCACCCTCATCAATATCTCGGGTACGTCATCAGCACAAGAACAAGACCTTTCACTATTAGACATGCAACAGATTGCACTGACTCTTTGTGTTTAGTCTGATCAAAGTTCAGGAGTTTATTATCAGGCAGGGGGAGTCAGCGAAGATGATAAATTCGTAGCAAAGGTGAAACAATATTTCAGAAAGACTAAGAAATTATAAGTGTTATAGAATAGAACTGAATACTTAGGTTGTAGGATCTTTAGGGGATATAAAATACATTATAAGGCACATTCATACACTTTTATCAGCAGCATTGTGGGAACACTGATGTGGGCTAACCCAAAGCGAAGGCAGGGTTTGACACCTATCACAATGAGTTCATGAAGCAATGAATGAGACATTTTACAAGCAAGAGAAATGAGACTGGGGAGCGTGATAGATAACAAATGCACCTTTCCAATCTGAATGTCAGGATGTACAAGTGCTTACTTTTTTCCCTGTAGACTGTATTAAGGAGCATATGGTACCAATTTACTTGCACTGTAGACATTTAAAGGTGTCTCATGTATGAACAAATGTAATATTCTCCCCTTAGCTGTGTGTGACATCGGCTCGGCTTCCTTCAAGTACGACATGAGACGACTGAGTGAGATCTTGGCCTTCCCGAGAGCCTGGTACCGTCGAAGTATCGCCAGGCGCCTGTTCCTGGGAGACCAGACGATCAACCTGCCAGGTTACTCTCTGACCACTCAGTGGCTTTGCTCTGTGTGAGGGTGGAAAATTACCAGCAGCTATAGTGTCAGCTATTACAGGGCATCTAATCACGGCCAGCACACACAACATAACTACAGGAAATACATCCACATTTATACACACGTGTATACACGTAGCACCTACACACATGACACTGTTGTGGTTTTTTGAATGATGGTATGGTACAAAACAAAACTCCTGCCAACTCATGCCTGTTTCTAGGCCAGGGATCTGTCTAAGCATCCGTACTGGGGTGAAACATAGACATAGACAGGTAGAACAACGGAGAAGAATGTGTTAAATGATAGACAACTGCTAGGTAGAGCAGCAACAGAACGTGCTTTGAGTTGCGGAATGCAGAGTTTGTGTTGGCAGCATTTGTAAAGTGAAATGAATGATAGAAATTGATGATTTTTCAAACATGTCAGTGGTTGTCTACCTACAAGTCTCTGCGGGTTTAGCTTGTGTTCATTTTTAATATCCCATCTCGCTGACCTTCCTTCAGCCAACATTTCTTCCCACTGCTCTATGTTGACATTTCCAAGGCTGTCCTTTACATTACATCTCTCAACCTTTACACTGCTTCAGCCTCTGGCCCCGCCACCCCTGACTCGGCCGAAAACATCACCCAACATCTGTCCCCCGAGTCCAGCCGGAAAGCCTACTGGAGGACGTGGGACGGCAGCACTGGGACACAGCACATTCCTCAATCCCCCAACGTCTTTTCAGAACACTCCACTGGAAGCAACATGTCCCCGGGCGGCCTTGGCCACCTCAAGTCCCCTGCACCTGGACGCACCAGGAGCGTGTCTGATTCCTCTGCTCCCAGGAGAGGTGATTACAAACACTCACCATCTCGCCAGATGGGACTCCAACAAAAACATTCCTTGTTGTTACCAAATCACAGAATGTGCAGTAAGTCAGGAGTCTAATACACAATTCAGTTGTTAATCAACAATGTACAAACCAATAAATGAAAGTGGAAAGAAATGCACTAACAACATGTGCATCTCGACTGCCTTTCAACTTATCTTTGTTCATTTTTGTCTAGACTCGGTGACAAAAACATCCACTCCTTCCTTCAGTAAAAATGGTAAGGCAGCAGGTCAGCAGGGGGCGCCATGGGAGACACTGGTTGTGTTCGCCATCAACTTGAAACAGCTCACAGTCCAAATGAACATGAGCAACGTCATGGGAAACAATACGTAAGTGGTCGCAGTTTCTGCACTAGAAATGTAACAAGTGTCATTTTAAAGGAACAGTCTGACATTTAGTGGAAAATGTTTTTTGCTTAGAGTTAGATAAAGAGATTGATACCACTCTGAAACAACAGAGTGCGATGGATCTTTTCATCTTACTGGAATCGAAAATAATTCCTTTAAGGATCATACAAGTGAGAAGGAAACTCTTATGCTAATAGTTTTTATGATTAATAAGCTGTTTTTCAAGATAAGAAATATCCTTCCCTACTTTATATGGACAGTTTATCCTTAATGTTTTTACCCGCACTGCAAAAATTGTAACAGCTGATGCAGTAGTTAAGAACTATTTATACATAAACGGACACTCAGGGCTTGTATAGATAAGTGCTCTCAGTGTTGCTTAAACTTGGCCTCAAACTCAAATGTTGAAGTAATTCTGAATTCTAAATGAGAGGTTAATGTCAGCCATGAAAGCTGTGAATAGTAAAACAGTCACTCGTTTTAGAGAGTGTGACTCTTGCTGTTGGTGTCCTGTTGGACAAAGATTGTCCAGTCACATTCACAGAGGGTGGGGCTTTGCCTGTGCCCCTCACACACAGAGCAGAGCACCGGGGAGGTGACATGAATGTTACTCAAGTTGATGAGAACTTGTAACATTACGTACAATAAAAAAAAGTTCCCAAAAAACAAAGATGGCTGCACATTGACAGATAGCGAAAAATACATGTAATTTATTAAGCCATGAGTAGATGAAAAATTCACTAGCCGCTAGGCTAATGTATGTTGTGTAGAATGCCACAGGCTTAAAGGTTTTATGAGGTACTTTTCCATAGTCAGTGTATCAATAACAGTAGATGTCAGTCAGCACACCCCCTGTCTAGAGAAGCAGGTTGGAGTACCACCACAAAAGCTAAGGAGTGTACTGCTGTGGACGGGGTCAGTAGTGACACTTATGTTATCTACCTAAATAAATCTATATCAATTTTAGTGGACACTGTGTTTGGAATATTTTCACTCTTCCTTACCTTGCTGTCAAGACGGTCCCTTGGACTGAACTGAAAGTGAAATGTATGTGTGCTTTCTTCATAGCCAGACTCTATTGACAAAAACAGTAATTTTACCTCACTGAACACAGGAGCTGCTGGTCATCTACTGCCTCGATCAATTAATTTATTTGTGTTATTATGTGACTTTGGAGTTTTAAAGGGTTGGTTTGGATTCACCAGTCACACAATAACATGAACAAACTCAGTGATTGAGGCAGCTGTACACCAGCCGCTCCCTGGAGGCTGTGAAGAGGAGTAGATTGATATAACGGCTTCAAAGCCTGTCTGATGGCAAGGTAAAGGGGTGTAAATATTCTAAATATAGTCCACACTTCATTTGATATTGATTCTTTTAAGTGGCTAAAATACATTTTGTTGCTGCCACATCCACAGCAGTACATTGCTTAGCTTCTGTGGTGGTACTCCAGTCTGCTTCTTCAAACTGGGGGCGTGTATCTACTGCAGGTAATACACTGACTGTGGATAAGTACTCATACAGCCCCACTTCGAAAAAATCCAAACCATCCATCTGAGCTAATAATAGCTAGTAGAAAAAACTGTTTTATTTATGAACACTGACACTTATTTACTTACAGAATTTTATCATTTTGTTACATGTTCATACTGTTAAGTCACAATCATGTATGATAGTAATAATGATATTGTGATGAAACTTGTGATTCACACCCCCAGTAATAAATAAAAACTACTTATGATCCTTTATCTTATGGGCTCAGTTGGTTCATCTCTTAAACAGTGCTGTATCTCAGCGGTCACCAGGATATTCAGCTGTTACAACATTTCATCTCTACTGTTAAGGCAGAATTGCAGAAAATCCTGCTGAATCATTGACAAACACAACACCCTCATAACCAAGGCAGTACAGTTTTATGAGCTCTGCGTCAACATAAAGTAAAAAAATATCTTCTTCCCTGAAATCTGTGGGCTCTCTGAACAACACATCTCTGCCTCTTCCTCACCACGTCAGGGTACACTAGACCTCTCTCTCTCTCTCTCTCTCTCTCAGTTTTGAATTATTTAGGACTTCAGAATATTCTGACGTCATAAAAACATATATGCATAGGTGTCGTCTCTGTTTAAAGCAAGAACTGTGTTGAGGAAAAAAACAAAGGTGAACTTGGATATTAGCAAATGGCCTAATACTGACATATGAATTTGACATGTTGAACTAAGGAGTTCAGCTAAAGTACATAATGATATTTGTCTAAAAAAACTGACTTGACAATCAGATTTAATACTGGAGGTTTGCTGGTGTTTTTCTTTGCAGTTACCTGTGTTTATTCCTGGGTAAGTTCTCTCAATGAGGGTCTTTTATGTTTCATAGAGTGCACATCTCCATTATTCAGGAACGCTCACAGTTGTGTTTGCCCCTACAGCTGGACGACCAGTGGACTGAAGAGTCAGGGCCGCTTGTCTGTCGGCAGCAACAGAGACCGAGAGATCAGCATGTCTGTTGGCCTCGGCCGCTCCAAGCTCGACTCCAAGGGCGGGGTGGTGGGTGGCAATATAGACGTGAACACCCTGGAGATGGTCTGTAAGTAAACAAAGCATCAACTTTCCAGACATCTGGTGTTTTTCTGCAACTCGTTAGCTCCCCTTGTTCTCACAGTCTGTAAACTGGATGTGGACCTGAGCCAGAGTTCAGTGCAGAGTTCTCACACAGCACTGGGAGCTGTGCAGTCATAAAATACAGGCTTAGAAACACTTTCACATTTTACACTTACTGTGTAAGTGGATACTTTGTTTCATATATTGCATTTCGTGTTTAAATAAGCTAATATATGACATAGTAACATGTATTTGTCAATTGAATTTATTTAGAGTTGTGCATTTCTTTAGACCTGGGGATGTATATGAGTACTCCTGATTTCTCCTGCTGCAGTTTTGCATGCTCCTCTATTCATTGAGACATTTCTACTGGGGATGCACCGATTTGTCGGCAAACAAGATGACATTTACAGATGGCAGTGGCCAATGTTTTCTGTCCTGTCACAGAAAACAGGCTAAAAGTCAGGGCTCAAGACTAATACTGTCCCCATACTATCCCCCGGGGACAATATGTTTTGGACGGACCCCAGGACGACTTTGGGATGAAAGGATGTAGTAAACTCACTATCATTGCGTCAGGGCATGCACATTGTGTTGTCCTTGATAATGCTACGTTGTGACAGCTAACAGCTGACAGAGGTTGCATAGGCCCCCAGAAAGTGTGCTGGACTTTTAAGCCAATTTGACATAAGGGCAAAAGTGGAATTACAAATTCCAGGTGCAACACCTGATGCTATTCAGCCCAAAAAGACTTTTTCCTGTAGACTTAACATTGTAAAAGAGATGTCTCTAAATCAGTGGGTACATTTTTAGAGCGTCACAACCTTCGCGAAATGACTCGGTGACTTAGGTCCAAAACATTTCAAAAGTCTAGAAGAGCCACATGATTCAATTTTTGTATCCCCATTCAAGTTAGAGGCTAAACAGGAAGTAGCAGGCCTGGGCAGTGGAAGTTAGCCCAGTGTGCCTGCTCTATAGGCCTAATAATGTGGAAGATATGGGTTCTTTCATACATGGGAAGCTGAACATTTTTGGCCTCATGCCCTTCAAAAAGCAGATTTCATAGAAATGAACGGGGCTCCGCCTCCAACTCTGTATCCAGTTCTCTTTATACATCAATAAGTTTGCATTAGGTTACATTATGATGCGTTCAGGCTCCATTCAGCAAAAATTAGTATTGGGTGGAGGTACATAATAACATTATCATGATGTGTTCAGATGTAATCTTGCAAGATATCGGTGAGACTTCAATAAATACAGTACTTTGAAGGAGAAATTTGTTAAAGTTTTCACAGCAATATCAAATAGATATGAGAGAGGGAATTATGATATATATATATATATGTATATGTGTGTATTTAAAAGAATATGTTTTTCATATGAAAGGTTATTAGAGGTTGATTCATATATTTGTATGTTTGAATTTGTGCTCATCCAAAGGTAGTGTATAGAGGGGCTTAAATACTTTAAAACAGTTAAGTTATTTATTTATTTAATAATGAAGATTACCTTGTTTCCCGGGCACAAAAGGGGCAAAAAAAAACAACAAAAACAAAGTAAACAGCTTTCGGCCAAATTTTTGCTCTAAACATTGATATTTGCCCAAAATGTCACAACTGGTGCATCCCTAATTTTTACTCTGTGTACCAGATTGCACTCTATTCACTGCCCTTATTTTTATTTACATTATTTTTTGTGGTGCAAAACCTTTCTGAAAATGAAACATTTACATTTTTTGAAAGCTCTTGATATTGAAATTAGCAAAAAAAAAAAAAAACTGAGTTAGGAAATGTGAATAAATTAAGCAAACCTTCAAATTTAATACCATTAACAGTTTTTCAGAATGATCTTTTTGTTAATTTCATCTTAATTTGACATCATCTGTTTTAAAAACTCATGGGTTTAATACGTTTTGCAACCTACTGGATGTTTCTCACCAAACTGCATGTTTTTTCCACAATCATCTTCTCTCATTCAGCTTGACGTCCATGCCACTGTATGACTGTATTAAAACTACAGCACTAACCATGTACTGTCCTCATTCTAGCCCACATCTCAGAACACCCCAACCAGCAGCCCAGCCATAAGATCCAGATCACCATGGGGTCGACGGAGGCACGTGTGGACTACATGGGCTCCAGCATCCTGATGGGAGTTTTCAGCAATGCAGACCTGCAGCTGCAGGACGAATGGAAGGTCAACCTGTGCACCGTTGACACCAGCCTGTCAGAGAAAAGGTGTGAAATGATGTCAGCAGATGCTTATCGTGCAACACAACACCTCTGGCACTTGAAATATAGCGCACCTGATAGAATGCTGAGATGTTTTTTATTGTGCTGTGAGTACATAAAGTGTTTTTCTTAATGGGCGATTTCACACCAGTCACATTGGTCCTGTTTCTCATGTCGCCTGGTAAAACTGATACCACTTGAATTTAGATAGACACAGATATCTGCATCAAGAGCACCTGAGAATGCAGGTTTTGTTTCCTGAGACTTTCAATATGCATTTCTTAATTACTTGGCAAGCCGGTCAAACAAAATGATGATGCAGATCTTTCATTCCAGATGCAGCTGTGTTTAATCTACACTATTACCATCTGCCTTTCGCCTTGCTGTACTGTTTTCTACAATCCGAACCATCTTAATGTTCTATCTTCCTGTTTCTCACCTGTTCCCTCCCCATCTTTTCTCCGTCTGTCCTTGTAGTGAAATCTTCGTCCATGGAGACCTGCAGTGGGACATTTTCCAGGTGATCATTTCACGCTCCACCACACCAGACCTCATTAAGATCGGCATGAAGCTGCAGGAGTTTTTCACTCAGCAGTTCGACACCAGCAAGCGGGCCCTGTCCACCTGGGGCCCTGGTCCCTACCTGCCCCCCAAAACCCCTGTCATCAACGCTGAGAAAGGATCTGCAGAGCTCTGTAAGCAGGCCTGTTTCTTTACTGCTGGGAGATATATTTAATGCAGATTGTGGCATAATAAGGCATGCACAGCAAGTGTCTCAGGCAGTCAGGGTGGTAAAAGGAAGCGATCTGATTTGTAATTCTAATGAGTTTAATTTGTATACTACTTTTTCAAACAGTTGACAAGGTGGTTCAACAACTGAATGTAATCAAACATGCTTGTGAGATTAAAGCAAACAAAAAGCATAGATTTATAAAGAGTGGTGGCTATATCAGGATAAAAACAACATAATACACCAAAGCTGATCCTGTTAGCACCAGCAGCATGCCTCATGTTCAGGTCAGGATTGATTTGTCTGCCTACACCCCCCTTCCTCGTGCCTCATTTTGTGTCTCCCAACGGTCTTCGTCACACAGACATGGATGCAGCCCATCACCGCCACTGGCCCGGGGTGCTGAAGGTAATCGCTGGCTGCCACATCTCCCTCTTCCAGATGCCTCTGCCGGAGGACGCTGTGCAGCTGGGCGGTTCAATGAGCCTCCATGGTAATCACATGACCCTGGCCTGCTTCCACGGGCCCAATTTCCGCTCCAAGTCGTGGGCTCTGTTCCACCTGGAAGAGCCCAACATTGCCTTCTGGACGGAGGCACAGAAGATCTGGGAGGATGGTGAGGCAAAATGTTGTTTGTATAAATGGTGTTGAAAAATATTACATAATAAAAAATAACAGCAGTGCAATTGTTCCTAGCAATATGTTTCTAACTGACTTTTGTTCTGTCACACCCAGGCTCCAAAGATGATTCTACCTACATAGTTCAGACACTGGATTTCCATCTCGGTCATAATACTATGGTAACCAAACCCTGTGGTGCACTCGAAAGTCCAATGGCCACCATAACCAAAATAACCCGTCGGCGGCATGAAAACCCTCCACATGGAGTCGCCACAGTTAAAGAATGGTTCAACTACGTCACTGCCATGAGGAATGAAGGTAACCAATTTTGTTTTTACTTGTAAACCATGTATTTTTTATCCTGATGCCTTCACACACAGGGATGCACAATCCAAATTTGTCTTTACCAGTACCGGTTCCAATTCCTTAGCTCTGAGTTTCTGCTGATTCTGAGTACCGATCTGTTACCAATTCTTTCTTTTTCCTAAATGTAAAGCCTGCATACCTCAGTGTGTGGAAATCACTGGGATGACTTACATGCCAGGGTTTGCCGTGGCTGACAGCAGTCTGCCAAGTCTCATAGTGGAAACACTGGATTTTATAACAACACTGACAAAAAAGCTATTCGAGGCTCACATTTTTTCAAGTTTGTATTGAAACACATGATATGTTGACATATGCAAAGAAACTGGAACTCCTGGCAGCCAGTATGAACAGGAGGAACAGTTACAGGAACCAACACAAAGTTGCATCTGGGCATATGAGTGTTTTAAGACTCAAAAGCTCAAAAATTGTGAAACTGTCTTTAAATATGGATGGGTCATATATGTCCAGTCCACTTAATAATGTCAGTTCTAGAGTCAAAATTTATCCTGTGAATGGGATCTGTGCATCCCTAACAAACTGCATCCTCCTCTAATGGCTACTTCAGGCTGGCACCAAAAGCGAACCAGTCCCTATAAACCCCAGTGTTTAAATGCCTGACTTCACAGCAGAAATAAGCATATTTAAAGCATAGTACAAAAAACGGTTCTGCTCTCTAGCCAGTTTTCACAAAGTTACGCATACTTAGCAGCTTTGAGTGATGGGCTGTCTATTAGGTGTGTCCACAGACTATGAGACCACTTGTTCAAATTTGGTTACTTTTGGCTCCAAAAATCCAAGGTGGAAATGGGCAAAATTCTAAACTCAAGGCTTCAAAATGTGAGTTTACAAACCAATGGGTGACTTCGCAGTGGCTACGTCCATTATTGTATACAGTCTATGATCCCTAATCACACAAACTGCATGTTTCAGTACATGTACACTGCCCTTACAGATATAAATATGGTAGAGGCCTCTCAGTATAGTGCAGTACAGTTTAACATACATAAAAAATAAAAAAATACAGCCGCAAGCTGTACTGAGTGGTAATCGCAGTAGATTACAATCTTTGACTTGATGTAACCTCAGTCAGCACTTAAAAACATATTGCGTGCATGACTTGCTACATTGTTGACAAGCAAGATTTGGCACTTGGCACAACTTACAGACTGTTCCACTGTGCTACCTACCTTCACACATTAAGGCGATGACATCACGTGGGAACCCATGGTATTTTTTTGTAGATTTAAACTTAAAATGCTTACAACAGACAAAATGTTGGTGATAAAATTGTGAAAAAAATGACACATCATTTTGCTGGGTTCGGGTGTAATGCCAAATACTTTTGTGAAGTTGGTTCAAACATTTTGCAAAATAGAAAATGTTGTGCATACACCGCTAATAACAGACACTGAATGTCACCGCGGACTCGGTGTTTGACAGATCTGATCACTATGTAAAATATCAAATATCCAAGTTAAAGTTTGTGTCAATTTTGGTAGCATTTGAATTTAATGGTTGCAGTGTCGCAAACTTTAGTTACAATTCAGTGGCTGTGCGGAAAACAAAAATCATTTCTGTAGGACGTACTGGTGATTTTTTTTTTTTTTTTTTTTTTTCAGATTTTTTAAAATGTATTTATTTATTTTTAATTTTTTAGCATAAAAGGTCTTGAAATTTAGAAGTGTTCTAATAAGCACACCCACTTTAAGCAAATACCTTATTTTATGTGTTGACTGACTCGTGACCATAGGCACACATATCTCTCTAGCAGATTGTGAGATGTTAACTGTTGCCATTTGTGGTGCCCTCTAGTGGCACAATATCCCAAGACCTCTTAGCGAAGCTTCGACCTAACATCGGAACACATACACCAAGTTTGGTTACATTCACTGAAGCCAGTTTTGATTTACAAGCATTTATCTAAACTTGAACTTAATGATGCAGCCTTAAAAATGTATAATTTCATAATGGATTGACCAATCTAATTTTCCGTGATAACTTTGGATCAACAATATCTATAGGTGTTTCTGACAAAGTTTCGGGACAGTTGGCCCAACAGTTTTAGACGAGTTGTTGAAAAACAGGACTTTGAGAAAGCTAAGAAAAAGACCCAAATTTTGTCATTTGCAGAGCAGAAGACCAGTAAAGACACAGATGAACTAAGAGATTAAGATAATGTAAGCCAGGCTTAGAGATAATTGCGAATATGTTAACCTGGTTGTTACAGCACCACCCCGAGGTCAATGAGTGTCAGTTTATGGGCCTGAGTAATTGGTGGACTTTGCAGCCAACTGGGCCAATTATGGTGATTTTCAGTCACACAGTTTTCTGACACTTTCAGCAGAGAAAAAATTAAGAAGAAAGCTAAAAGGAATGAGAGAATAAATGAGAACAAAACAGAATGGCTCCAGCAGTGAGCCCTGCTTGGTCCCCATAAATCTGAATATTGTAACCTTCATGAAGTTTGGATTTATTGCAGTCAGTGTATTAGACTGCATTAGTGGCAGCTAGGTGTACCTAATAAAGTGCCAGCTGAGTATAAATGGTTGTTTCATTGTTGTAACTTCTCAAACTTTATGCCTTTCTTCAGACAGCTCTGACTAAAAGAAGACAGACAGCTACTTTCTGTCTGCCTTCCCTTGCAGCTGCTGCCTGTTATCTGAAATGTAAAGTCGGTGCAGATAGTATTTAACAAAGCAGAGGAGTGTGAACGTGACCTTAAACTCAAAAGAGTTTTGACACGTCTTTATCTCTCGCTTCAGAGCTGAACTTGCTCAGGAACGTGGAGGCCAACAACCAAGAGAGCGGAGCGGCTGCCAAAAGCTCCAGTCTGCTGAGCAGCTTCCGCAGCTCCTCCGCCTACAACCACGAAACTGAGACCATCTTTGCTCTTCCCAGAATGCAACTGGACTTCAAGTCCATCCACGTTCAAGATCCAGATGAACCTTCTCTAACAGGTAGGAGTGTCTTTTTGTCTGACTGTTTTGAAAGTCAGACTTATATCACGATAGTCAGTCCAAAGTTAGGTGTCTAGCATTTGTGACACCAACCCCTCCCCTGACAAAACACAGTGTGTCCCAGCTCCATATCATATACTAATAGGGCTGACAAAATCCATTTCATTTCAGCATTGTGATTTGAGACTAGATATCATCTTAGACTTTGGATGTCATCAGTTTTGTTTCCTACTGCATTACACTAACAGTGTTTCTCCTATATGCTTTTAGCTGCTCAGTGATTAGCGCTGTTGCTACATAAAAATCTCCCTATATGTAAATACCTTGCTATCTCTACGCAAAGCAACCAGAGTCGAGGACAAGCAAGGATTTTAAATGGAATACCACCAGATAAAAGGCTGATCAATTGGCCATGGAACGTTATCGGTAGATATTTGTTCTGAATACTTTGAAGGTAGATCAGATGACGCACAACAGCCATAACTATTTCTCTGTGTGCCTCTGAAATAGCTTAACTTTTCTGGCGGTTGTGACAAACTGCAGCTCACACACATTCACTGTTACATTCATGGTTTACTGACTTGATTCAGAGATTAAAGGAAAACTCCATTGGTCGCTAGGCTAATTTATACAGTATAAAATGCCATAGGCTTGTGCTAATAACATTAGCATGTTGTATTTGTCTAGAAAACGTGTTTAGTGTAAGACAGTTTTTTTGTCGGTGAATCTTGTGAGTTGTAAGTAGAGGGAATCTGCCATAGGCTTGTGCTAAAAACATTAGCATGTTGTATTAGTGGGGAAAATGTGTTCAGCAAAAGACAAGCGCTTTGTCTGTGAATCCTGTGTTATAATGAAGCCGACTGAGTACTTGTGTTTGAAATTGTTACTATTAAGCTATGTTTAATGTGTGTTTTGAGTGTTTTGAATCAGCTAAACTTTACAGCACTTCACAGAAACCCCGCTGCTAACTAGTGTTTTGGAGGTGTAACTGAAGAGTGACACAGACACACCACAGCACAAGTAAAATTGCTCACAACAGCCATGTGCATATGCTATGACATAGGCTCTGCACAGAGCTGACATGCTAGCCTTTATATGATAAAGTAAAAGGGAAGGCTTCATACAGTAGCATAATTATGTCCCCTATGAAGGAGGCAAATGCCAAGCTCACGAAAGAACGTCAGATCCTGAACTGAAATTTCCTTGTTACAGTTTTTCCTTTTAGTTGTAGCGGTTGTGAAATAAATGTATAAACGTCATATCTATGCACTGCCTAACAGAACATACAGCAGTGCCCTGAGCTGGTGTTCATTACATTACTTTCGTATCAGTTAGATTACAGTAATTCAGCTGTGAGTTTTTCCTCTGTATCCTCACGCTGAAGTCGACTGACATTTAAAGAGATGTCTTCCCTAGAGGGTTTGCATCTTTGTCACCTTTTTCCACCCCTGATGAGTTTGCACCCCTGAATGTAAAAAATAAATTTTGTTTTTCCTCCAGAGTTTATCAGGCTTGCTAATGATAGTGCCACCAGCATTGAGGAAGTTCAAGTATAAGAGGTAGTGGTTTGTTTTCCACGTCTTTTATTTTTTTGTATTCATTTGTTCCAGACTCCAACAGTAAGCCCAAAGTGGAGTGCAGCGTGGTGACAGAATTTACAGACCACATCTGTGTCACCATGGACGCCGAGCTCATCATGTTCCTTCACGACCTGGTGTCTGCCTACCTGAAGGAGAAGGAGAAAGGTTTTTGTCTCATCATCATCATTCATTCCTTATTTAACCCTTTCAGTCAGTCAGTGAGACAATAAACATTGTTTAGTCTTTTCAGTTGTTGACACGCCCTGGGACAGATCCATGAGTCATCTCCAACAGGTGTAGGACTGAAAAAAAGTTTAATTTAAGAGCGAGATTTCAAAGACCCAATCCAGACATCAAACAGCACGTCAAGGAAATGACTCATCAGACTGTCCAAGGAGAAATAACAATATGAAGCACATCTGTGTGCCTCTGTACCTGTGAAGCTGTTTGTATGCTGTTGGACACATTTCGGAGAGCAGCATGAAACGCAGGCAGCTGAGTGTTATTTTCACACACAGCAGGGAGGTCAGAGTGCCCAATGCAGGCAGCATTTTAATGGCTTTCCCATTGTCACAAAAGAACAAATTAGCAGCCTTTATGCCGGCAACCTCCCATTCTTCATGACAATTAGAATAGTGCCACGACTTTGTTCTGTTGATTCTGCAGCTGAATAGAAAGGAAAAAAAGAGGCAAGCACTGCAGATTTTCAGGGCAGATGGGTATTTGAATGTGAATAGAGTGTAGATCTATACTATCAAGGTGCCGACTGAGCTTTCAGGGAAATTAATGAATGTTTATTGTGTTGTACTCCTGGGTGTTGTTGTTGAAGAATGTGTCTGCCATGTTAAAAAGAAAACATCCAGGCAGCCAAGCGTGCCGAGCGAAAACCTTATTGCTTCTCTCCTTCCCCATGTGTCCTCAGCCCTTTTTGCCCCGCGGATGTTCGCGGCGCGACCCGGCCAGAAGAGCCCCACGGCTGTGCATGATGAGAGCTCCTCAGACAGGGACAAGGACGACAGCATCAACTACACCACGGTGGACTGGAGGGAGTTCATGTGCAACACCTGGCACTTGGAGCCAACTCTCAGGTCAGCTCTGCTCCACCGCACCGTGGGCATTTAGAGTGTGTGTTGTTTTTTTTATTTGCTGTTAACGGACGCACACTCTTTCATATGACAGAGTCACACTGAGTCACAATGCTCATTCATGAATAATGCTCACTCGAAAGAGGTAGAGGGCACTTGGAAAAGAGCGCTTGTGACACTAAGCGTCATTATCTGCATCCTTGTGGCCACAGCAAACTCCTAATGTGACGACCTAACATGCAAATCCTCATATACGAGGCTGTCATGCATCATTGATTAAGACTATCAGGTTGAGCCTCTTCCGCGCCACCCCCTCCCCACCATAGGCCCATTTTTTAGAGGGGACAGGGGATCTTTAGGGGGAGATAGCAAGTCAACAGAATTTGCCACACAGAAGTATTGTAGATCATCTGTAAGCAGGGAACCAGAAGAATAAATTGACATGCAGGTCAGCACTGTGTGTCAAGTTCCTGAAGTCATAAATCTGTAATAAACACTGTGTTTTGGTTAGCTGCCTATTTAAACTTTCAAAGTTTAGAGTGTATAGGGGCTCAGCACATTATGATGGAGGCAGTGGTGGATGGAGTACCTGAAAGTTGCACTTGAGTAAAAGTACAGAAATCTTCTATCGTCCAGAAAATGACTTTGGTAGAAGTTAAAGTCGCCTATTAGGATATTACTTAAATAAAACTCAAGTACAAGTTAATGCTGGTAATAAAAAAAAAAACAGGCAGTCAGGATTCTGAAGTTTATAATTATGAAGTTTATTTGCTGTCAATATGCACAGCACCTTAAAAATGGAGCGTACATTACACTTGAAGAAAAACAAGGTCTTCTTCACAACTTAAAGGATTTTAAAGAAAACCTTTTTAAAGAATCAACAGCCGTACCCAAACACTTCCCAGTGTGATCCTTAACTTTTTTCCCAAAATTGGTTAACCAGTTTACACTCCCAGATTGCATGTAGAAATGTTCTATTTCTGTCTGACATTTCCAACATGAATTATTAGCCAGTAGACCCATCGTGTGGAGCTCAGGAGTCAAGTAAAACCTAAGAATTAATTTATGCTGAGTAATTTTCCCCCTTGCCTCCTTTAAATATTTCCTAGTATCTGACAGTATTTTCAATCATTCCTCGTTGCTTAATTCACACCCCAGGACCTTCTGCCAAATGATCCTCAGATATTTTACAAGTACCTTTTTGTAACCCACTGAAGGTCTGTCACAGATCTTCGTCTCCTTGAATCAATACTCGCCCTGTCTGCTGTGGGACGCCATTTTCTACTTCTGTCATGAAGTCGGTATCAGTTGTCAAGTGGAATGTAGTCACTAGCGTCTAATCTGACATGCAGCCTGGGCTTGACAGGAAATCCTAACTCAAGTGCAGCTTTGAGAACACTTGTTTGCACTGATCATAGGTTAAACCCATGGTCTAACTTGCAAGCTACGACCACTGTTTATTTTGTAGTAACTAAAATGCTTAGGATATAGAAATACATAGATACAGGAGTAAAATACTTTGACTCCAATACATAGAAATTTATTGGAGTAAAAGAATACATTTTATTTAGGAAATGTGGTGGTCTGAAAGTGAAGGTTGACAGAAATATAAAAACTCAAGTAAAGTGCAGATACTCCCAAAAAATACTGAAGTGTCATTACTTAATGACATGACACCACCGGATGGAAGTATACAACGATTATTCCTATGCTTGATTATGTCCCATAAGTTGTTGCAGCAATTTTTGGGTCAGTGCCATAGATCTGGTGCAAAGTGTAACCATTTGAGACAGAAGTCTCAACTTTCCATTCAGATCCAATTTATGCAATCCAATACTGCTCAGGGACACCAGTATGCAAAAATATTCAAATACAAAAGGCAAAAATAACATGTTTGTTCTGCATGGTTTTTGCCTAAAACTGAATGAGACTAGCATAATGTGGGCGTGTGTGTAAAGGGGAGACTTGTTGGTATCAGTAGAACCCTTTCTCATCCAGATATCTTGAGGTGAGAGGTCAAGGCGGGACCCCTGTGAAAATGGCCATGCCAGTTTGGAGCATTATTTGGCCCTTGTCCCAACAATCTCCCTCTGAGCTCCTTAGGTCGGTGTAGTTTCTTATGATACCAGTATTTTAGCTGTAGCTTCAAAACTCAGGCAGCTACAGCCTCTGTAAAACAGTGATGTCTACCGAGGATGCCGGCGTCCCAGGGGAGAGGAAGAGGATAAAAAAAGAAATACAAGCCACACAAATGAAATAAAAATGACTTTTTTCACACTAAACAAACTTGTTCACAGTAAAGAGTGACGAGTGCCTTGCTATGCTGTAGTCTACTATTAATAGGAGAAGTAGAATATAATACAGGCAGCTGAGTGTTGCTGCTATTTAAACATAAAGAATACGCTGACATTTCATATAAAGCTGTTTTTATCATGCTTGTTTGGTTTGTGTATTTTGGTCATGAGATGTCCTCTAAGTACAAGTACACAAGTGTTGGCTATACAATGTACTTTAAGTATTAAAAGTAAAAGTTTTCATTGTGCAGAAAATTTGCTCCAATCAGGTTATATTATTGTATTAGTAAAACATTAATATATCAGCTGGTTGAGATAGAGCTCATTTTAAATTTGAACGCTGTTGGATGTTTAAATCTGCGCCAACGCATTTTATTTTATAAGCTCATCGTGGATTTTGTATATTAAAACTGCATCTCAGATGTAACTGTCACAAGAGTTGTTAAATAATGGAGTGGAGTGAAAAACAGATGTGGCGGAGTGGAAGTATAAAGTAGTAGAAAATGTAAATACTTGAGCAAAGTATCTTAAAAGCATACCTTTGTGCAGCACTTAGTAATTCTGCTAGAGCTGTACGGAATGTTTTGAAGCTTTGAGGCTTCATTCGTAATGTCGACATTCAAATTCTAAATCAACATTTGAATACTGTGCAGCTATTTTTTTCTTTGTTTTTTGCTTTTCAGTATTTTTCTGCATATTTGCAAATGAAGATGAGGCTACAATAATACTGTTTGTAGAAGTAGATTCCAGTTGTGGCTGCTTAGGATTGTTTCCAACTCGTGTGATTCAAACGTTTCCTGTAACTCCGAAGTGGTTTAAAGTCCAGCGTTAAAAATGTATTGAAAATAGATGTAATCATGTCAAATTCACAACATGTTTTTACCCTAGAAAGGACTTTAATCCATATTTGTTGGCGTTCAGCCTGTCAGGAACGACATTCTTACAGTGATCAAGCATATATATATACAGCACTGGGGTTGCAACAGTAGATTTTCACAGTACGATAAACATCTCAGAAGATATTGTGATTTCACAGTATCACAGAATTTATATTATTGTCAGTCAGAATGACCCTTAAAGGAAGGAAAATGGAAGGCTTATTGTTGGTTGTACAAACGTTTTATTACTATAATTGAAACTTGAAACCATTTTATCAATGGAAATATGTGGAAAAGTCTCCCTTTTGAAAATAAGGACATTTGGAGTGAAACACACTGTAAAGAACACATTAGTGTCTGTCGTTTAAAACACTCTTTCCCAATCTGAGTTAATAACAATTGGCATATATTGTCTGAATGAATTTAGCATGGACTGAACAACATTTCCTCTCTCTCCAGGCTCATCTCCTGGACAGGCCGCAAGATTGACCCAGTGGGTGTGGACTACATCCTGCAGAAACTGGGCTTCCACCACGCCAGGACTACGATTCCCAAGTGGCTGCAGAGGGGTGTGATGGACCCGCTGGACAAGGTGCTGTCGGTGCTCATCAAGAAGCTGGGCACGGCCCTGCAGGACGAGAAGGAGAAGAAAGGCAGGGACAAAGAGGAACATTGATACCACTGTAATCAAAGCTGTGCATTCTGTACGTTCTCACAGGTCACACACACTGGATGACTGTATTACCATGGCCACTACTGTACAACACGTTTGTGAAGCGTTCCCATTTTACCTGCTCCAGCCTGTGAATTTTCAGCCTAGTTGTTTACTGTGGTGCATGCCATCAGCGGCTCTGACTGAAGCGTTTTGCACCCATGTTGTTTTCTGTATATTTTGAACAAAGTAGCAAATGTTAGTATTATTTGACTGCTTTAATGGTGAAACCCTGCCTCTTTTACCTGTTGTAAATGACCTTACTGAAATCGCTTGAAAGTTTTATTTAAAGGCTTACCAATATTTCATGAGAAATGATTTCTTATACCATTGCCTTTTCTTTGTTTCCCATGGAACACATGGTAGATATGCGTTATGTATTTTATAGTGTAGCTTAAAGATATTTAAGAACAGTTCGGTGACAGTGTTCTTGATTTTATTTTAATTTTTCTTTTTGATGTGAACAAATGAATACTGGGAGGTTACGGCACATCATGCACTCAGTCATGAGGATGACATGAACTTGTGATTATCGTTTGAACCAAGATCACTATTTATGGGTATGTGAAATGCAAAGTCTATAACGTGTTAGCTTGGTGTGTCAGGCTTATTTTTGTCCTTTTTTTAAATCCATACAGTAGAACCAGTGTATATAATTAAATTTCTTAAATATGTTGATTTCCTAACTTAATAAAAATATTGCCATTCAATTTTAGATGAAGCTCGGGTCTCTTCTTTTGTTCGGTTGGTTAAAACCAGGCGCCAACCTCCAAGGCTGGCTCCAAATCCCCATAGACACCCATGTTTAAGTGGGTTAAAAGTTTCTTCGAGGCTGGATCACTTGAATAAATACTTTGACCTTTGACTTTTTTAATTTGCGGTGCACTGCATAGTGCCTTTATGGCAGGTTTAATGGGGTTATGGTTATTGCAAAATGTGCCAATATGATGAGGCCATTAGGGCCCCTTGTGCCAGAATTATTTTGGAGGGAGCCCAAACATTTGCCTGATTTGCCTCTCTGACAGTGTACCCCTGGACTTAGGCTTGAGACAGATGACTTTATTCAATAGTTGCATTTTTCCAGAGAAGTTAAAATTTGTTAATCATGAAATTTAATAATCATGATTGGGTGATTTCTACAATGTGCACCAATTTGACGACTTACTGCAGACCAGCAGGGGCAAACACACAAGGTAGACTAGTCCAAAAATAATAACATTTGGATGTAAGGTCTGATGCTGACCAATCAGTGACACCACAACCATCCAACTTCATCCATCACTATAAAAACTGAAAAGAAAGGTACATGTGACTTGTGACTTGCTTGTTTCTAATCACAGTAACTTGGGACTTAACTTGAGACTTGGTTGTGACTTGCACATGTGTGACTTGGTTCTCACTCAATAGGATCGTGGTAGCTGTTGCAAATTTGCATCTCAGCTGGTCAATCTATTTGCATCATAACCTTTTATTGAATGTTGAACCTGATGCAAATTCACATCACAGCCAGTATGAATTGTTTAGATGCAAAATATTTAAAGGTGTTATGCATTTTTTCATCAAACACTAACGCTTGGTCAGTGACTCTTGGAGTCAGACACCAACACACCCTATAGTGGTGGTATGATGCACCAGGCGATGGCATTTTTTGATGCTGTGAGCAACTACCATAGTATGAAGAGCAAGAACGTCTGCAAAGCATGGGTCAAACAAACTGTGGATTTTCACCTAGGAGCCTGCTGTTCATGTCCTGTTGGAACCCAAAAGTCAGTGGAGTTATTTTAGTAACAATATAGTGTCCTAGTATGTGTAGCAAACTATGCTAGTGACGTCATGTGATGTATGCCTCATGATGTTACATGTTCAGTGCTGGACAGGCTACATGGAGAATGTAGCAAGCTAAGCTACCAGAAAATAGCAAAAGTAACTGAGGGATGCAGAGCGCCTCTAGGTGTTATTTGATGGGAGTCAGAAAGGGTTGGTAAAATCAGTGATGTAACGTGTTTAACAGCTCTGGAGGAGCTCTCTTAAGTCTGAAAAAATAACCCTAAAGATGTCATAATGATGTCATCAGGGTCATTTTGGCTTCAGCTTGAACTTAAAATGTAGAACAGAGAGCGAGCGTTATTAACTGAAGGCATGTACTATGCAGGGGGATCAGACGACACCACACTAAACCACTAGAGCTTCCCTTTAATGAAGTTTATTTTCTGGAGGTGGCACTCTCTGTTATCTTCAAACAACTGTGGCTCCTACTGCTCATCTTCAAATCCGTGAAACTCATCACTTCATGTGGCATAGGATTTTTCCCAGGAAACGGCTGTCAGACAGATGTTCAGAACTTCAAATGAAACTTTAATGAAGTGGGAATGGGTTATGTTTTTTTGAAAATGTCTCATATTGTTTGAATCAAAGCTTTAATGGCGTCAGCAGTAATCCACTTTATTTCTTCAGGCGCTAATTTGTTTCTGTTCTGGGTTTTTAGGTCAATTAATGAGCGCATGTGTAAGTCTACAGGATTCACTTAGTAATTTATAACAACTTCTACTAGTTTCCTCCAATGTTTGTCAGAACACCTCCCCGCCACTTCGCCACCCTCTCCATAAAAAGCCTGCTGTGCTCACTGCAGGGTTTTGTTAATACAGTACTCTGACTGTAACTCTCCCCCTACTGGCGCTAATCTCCTCCACTGTGATATCCCCCCTCACCATGAGCCATGTTCCACTTTTGGTTCCATGCCATGGTTGTTGCATTTTTGATGGTGCGTTGGCGGGTGAAGGAGAGCACGGTGGCACTGTGGAGAGGAAGAGAACTGCGGGTTTCCTCTGTGATGTCTGCTGTGAGATTATAGCGGTGTCACCTGAGGAAACCCAGACAGCTCAGTGTGAGAGAACACTCGAGTCTTTGCTCTCGCCTGCCTGGGCCGGACATTATTTCTGATTTTTATTCTGCCTGCTGCACACGCTTTCCTTTGAAGTCATATCTATTTTACATATCCCTACACTGTTTTCCCTTTTATTTCTTTCACTTTGCACAGCTACAGTGTGTACATATTAACATGGAGGCCGAGTCAGTGACCAGTAGATGGAGTCAAAAGCCAGTGGTCCGTCCCGCAGCCTGAACTCCTCCTTAATGACACATCAGCTCCCCACGATTTACTGGCCTGCTACTGAATTATAAAATAGAAACAGAATAGAGAGCATTAAAAAGTCATAAAGTGGCCAGAGATGTCGAACAGCTTAAATTGCCTTCCTCTGTCCTTCCTGGCCTGTGCTGGGACAGTCTCCACGGAGCTCTGGACTGCCCGCTCAGGGCAAACTGACATAAAACAGTAAGTGACCAGTGTGTGACAGAAACATTCTTCATTAGGAGGATGTGTTAAACATAATAAAAAGGTAATTACAATGTAGGAGAGGTGGAGTTAAAGCAGTCTAGAAGCGCAGGCTGGAAAATGAATATTTTATCTGCAGAATACAGAACTTTTCAGCATAAAGGGTTCTAAGCTTTGAAGTGAACCAGATATTCGTTGAGCTTCTGACAGTCTCCTATATGCAGCTTTAAGAAAACGCGTGTTCTCTCTTCAGAATGGAAGTCTTCATTAGCAGGGAGCTGACAGTGTGTAGAAACGGAGCAGAAAGGATATCATTAAGAACATTTTAAACCTGCTCAAAGAGGCCTTTTAAATTTCGCCTTGCGCAATAAAATCAGCCCTAATGGGACAAAAAACATCTGACAAATGGCCCATAAAATGCTTTATCATACACATATGAGAACGTTCAAGTTCAGTGCCACCTTGTCACAAGGCACCCTGGGTAAAGTGTTTAAGTTGCAGGCTAATTAATGGCTTTTTTAATGGTGAATAAATAATTTATAATGCTGTAAAGGTTATTTATAAGCCTCTGATTGGAACATCTTTGGGGTTGCCAAGTCGTGAAAAATCCATTTTGCTGGTGTTTATCTTCCCCCAACATCACGCCACTTTTGTCTTTTTGGCTCTTTTATTCATCAGTAAGATGGATTTTTGTAAAAATAAATAAATAAACAAAAAAAAAACCCTTTATTTATGACTTGCTAAAGGAAGAGTTCAATATTTGGGCCATAGCCTCTGCTTTCTTTCCATTACATATTAAAGCTGAAGCTAGGAGACTTTAGCTTAGTTTAGGGGAAACAGCTAGCCTGCCTGCACAGTTTCATAACCAGCCAGTTGACCTGAATTTAACATTTAAAAATAAACATCACTCTTTTGTCTGAACACTGAATATTAATGCTGCATTCAAATGGGACTTGCGAGGTCACGTTAACGACATGGGAAGTTGTGAAAACAAATTACGAACTGTGAGCTCTTAGGAAATTTCCACGTAAGACGTCGTGAATATCACAACAAGGTGGCGTTCATATGAAAACTTCTCGTAAACGCAATAAACACGACCCCATTTCAGTGCAGCATAAGCTACAGTCTAGAGATGGTTAGCTTAGCTTAGCTTAGCATAAAGACCGGAAACAGGGAAACAGTTTACTGAAACTCAATGAAACTCCTTTCTTTGCCATTTCTTGTAGTGTTGTCCCAATGTATAGCGAGAATTATTATACCCTATATAGTGGACTCAAACTATCCCACAATGCACCATGAAAAGTACTGTAAAATGTAATGTATCCCATCATGCACTGCACCAAAGGAACAGACAGACTATATGGGACGGACACCAAGACGGACGAGGGTAGAGAGAGCAGTGTCTTTGCCATGTAATGTCAGTTACGTGTGAAGTCGTCGGTTCACAAAGAGTAAAAAATAAACCAGCAACTGATCTTTTCAAGTGCTGTACAGTTACTGTGCAGAGTGGGGCCAACAACGCTGGCTAATGTTAGCGAGCTGGGTCGCTTCTAGCTCTGATTTGTGCCGTGACGGCCTAATGCATAACATTACACACTGAACTTAAGTTATTACATGACTGACTGGTAAAACAAACTTCAACATATCAAATGTTCAACACAAAATTACCTGCATTAGTGGGACAGGTTGCAGTTGCACTGCTCTCTCTCCTCTCATCTGTCTGCCAGTGTAACATTAATATGCTTATGTTTAATGTGAGCAGGGCAGCACATCTCACAACACGACACAAACGACCACAAAGTACTTTGTAACATTATTTATTAATTTGGGGAAAAACACTCAGTATAATTTCATGCATTTACCACAGATATGCATGTCAGTATTCGTTATAGATGGTTCACCAGCTGACGTTCATATAACAAGTCTTAATTGTGCCACAGCACCACCTGAGTAGTGTTCGAGAGCGTTTTTTCATGTTGCAGATGAACTCACTACTCACAGGCTCAGAGGTAGAGCGGGTCGTCCACCAATCGGAAGATCAGCAGTTCAATCCCAGGCTCCTCCAGGCTGCATGTCAAAGTATCCTTGAGCATGATACTGAAACCCAAATTGCTCCTGATGGCTGTTCCATCAGTGTGTGAGTCTGTTAAAACTGAGTAGCAGGTGGCACCTTGCATGGTAGCCTCAGCCACCAGCATATGAACAGGCACAGCGCCAGGATTTTTTCTCTCCCGGGCCTAAGAGGGAGCTTGACCGATATGTGGGGTGCTAAGAAAATAATTAATTTTCATGACTTCAGTTACTTTATAAGGAGGTTCTTGCTTTTTCAGTAAAAGCAGCTACGATACACAGCACAAGCATGTTCGATATAAAAGTGGTTTTAACTGAATTTGGCCAAAGAATATTCAACAAAATAGTTAAACCTAATACAAGTGACCACAAGGCAATGGCAAAAATATTTCACGTAGCAACAATGGACTGCTCTGGAGGTCCTTCAGGTCCTGGCTCACGAGTTCCTCTCTCAGATTCATTTTTCGAAACTCCCTCTTCTTCTTTGTCACACTGGGAGACTGGGTCTTGGTCTTCATTTTCTACCTGCACTCTTTTTTTCTTGATCACAAAATGATCCATTAGGATTGTAGGCCAGCTAGCCTTAGCCTAACGCGCGAGTATAAACAAAAGACTCCCCCC